CGGCACCTCGTCCTTGTGGACCGTCGACGATTCGACGATCTTGGAGATGCCCTCGCTCTGCACCACCTCCGTGTCGAGGTGCAGGCCTCTGGCTCCAAGCGCCTGCAGGAGCACGTCGGCCTTCTCCCAGCCGTCGGGCACGAAAGGCCGAGCCTCGCGCCTGAGCTGCGCAGAATGGCCGGCCAGCAAGCGCTCCAGCGCCCTTGCATCCAGCCCATCGGGCAGGCGAGGGACGCCTGCCACGGCCACTGGCGGCGGGGAGTGCCGCGCCGCGTTGCCGTAGATCAGCGCCTCGCTCGCCTCGTCGAGGAGCTCGCCGTCGCAGCCCAGCAGGCGCCCTGCCGCCAACTCCTCCCCAAGGGTAGGGAGGAAGCGGCCAACCGCATCAGCGAGTCGCCAATGCGCATCCAGCGAGCTGCGCAGCGCCTTCACACGCCGGTTCAAAGCGGCCGCCCTCGACCAGCCCCGCTCCGCCTGTCGCTCACGGCGAAGGCGTCGGGCCAGTGTACGAGCGCTGGCCGCTGCCCAGCGTTTCGCTTCCATCGCGGCCTCTGGCGCGTGCCCGAGCGCCAGCTGCGGGCACGCAAAGACGCGAGGGCCTCCCGTAGCGCGGCTCGCTTGAGCCGAAATGGCTACGGACGGTGGGGGGCATTGGATAAGGAACCCTTCGATAAGGAATCCAGGGTCTGGAAGCCAGTGGAACTCAAATCGTGGATCGGCCATGGATATCACCGCCGCCCTCATCAGATAAGGAACCCTCCAGGGTCTGGAGCCTCCTGGACGCATTCCTTTACGAACGCCCTCACCGTATCGGGCTGGGAGGAGGGGGTTGTGAGAAACGAGGGTATCGTTTCCCGTAGGCGGCCGAAGGCATCGTTCAGTGCAGCCGGATGCTATTGCTCATGCCCTTCACCCTCCCAAAGCCTTCCTCCCAACACGATACAGCTGGGGCCCGACCATTCCGCAAGACACCTAACCCTGAGACCCCAGGACGTCCACCGATTTTGGTGTGGAAACGTCACGCTCTCCATGGCGAAACCATCGAAGCCCGAGAAGCCCAGGGCACCCTGGAGGCAAGCAAAGTACTTTGTGGCATGGGCCTCCACTGCAATTGTCCGCCTCATGTTCGAGCGCGGCGGGCCGTCGAGAGTGGCCAAGGACGGACCGAGGAGGCAAGGATTCAAGAGCAGTACCCGTGGAAAAGGTTGTCCACATCCTTCGATACATCGAACATGCTTTTTGACTCGCAGGCTGTGAGGCCGAGAAGCATGCTTATTCGCACCCATGCTGGATAGGTGGTTCGCCCTGACTTTCGCCCATGCCATAATACCATAATCCCAGAACAAGGCGATCAATTGCAGCTACTTCAGATGTCTGGACCAAACGCAAACGCCATCTTCCGAGTTCGCAATGCTTTGCAAGCGCAAGGCTTATCAAGTTCAAACAACTTAACCGTCGTCGAGGACTGTCAAACACTCAGCAAAGATCTCACCAGGTCAGGCTCAGCCAAACGATCGTCAATGCATTTCCTCACTGTTCTGGCTTGCGGAACAAATTCCCTACCTGGCATGCTGCACCTCTGCGAAAATGGTCGCACAACACGCGCTGTGCAACACCAAATCCCACTGCGCTGTCCCAGTGCGCGGACACAGGAGCGAAAGTGGTCTGGATCAGCATTTGCGGGTGGCAACGTGTGACGATGGAGACAGCAGGACAAGCCAAGCGAATGGACGAAAAACAAAAGCCCGCCTCTGTCGTGGAATGCACTCTGACCGCGATCCTCACAGAATTGTTTTACTTCGCTGGGCCGTCGGGAAAGAAGCGAACAACTGCAAGTAGCGGCCTGGTGGACAGCCGGAAACGAAGCGAACAACGCAAGGGGAGAGACAGGAGGGAGGGGAGGAGGAGGAGAAGGAGGAGGAGGAGGAGGAGAAGGAGGAGGAGGAGGAGGAGGAGGAGGAGGAGAGGGACGGCGATGACCACGCACACTCAGCCACCGAGGCGCGCCCGAGGACTGGACCCATCGCGGGATGCGCGCGCGTTCAAGTACATGTCCTGGGACCTAGCGTATCCCGCACACGAGGGACCGCGACCAGAGAAATAGGACCCGCGAGCTTCGAAGCCAACGGTTTCGTCGCCGAGTGCGCGGTCCGGGGAAGCCATGGACCGTCCTGGGGTCCTCCAGGGACTCTCTTGGGTCGTGTGGGGACCACCTTGGAGATTCTTTGACGCTCAGGGGGACGCTTCGGAAGCGGCCCCGGACGCTTCGGGGGCGGCCCCGGACGCCCGGGCAACCTGGGGACGCTTCGGGGGCGGCCCCGGAGGCGGAAGGCGCCACTTGGTTTACTCCGGGTGCCCCTGGGGGTCTGCGGCCCAGGGGGCCCATGAGCCGGGCTCTCCGTGCATAAAAAGTTGCACGCGCACAGGGCTGCACACACAGGGTGCACATTACATACAGGGTCTCACACATGGAGTTCCACACACACACACAAGCACGCACACAAACACACAGACACACACGCACACACGCGCGCACGAGTTTCCACACACACACACACAGACACAGACACAGACACAGACACACACACACAGACACACAGACACAGACACACACACACACTGACTCACTCTCTCTCTCTCTTTCACACACACACACACACACGCACGCACGCACGCACGCACACACACACACACACACCTCTTGTGCGGCGCGGCCACGCGTGCGGCGGCGCAGCAGGGTCGAAGTCCAGAGGAGAGCGGCAAGCGCGGGCCGCCCAGCTCCCGCAGCGGGGATATGCTGGGCCCGCCCGCAGGGGACCACGCGGCAGTAATGACTCGCGGCGGGGGAGGGGGGGCTGGTCGCGAGGTGGGACGAAAGGGGGGAGGGGGGAGGGGAACGGCCAGAGGGAGGGGAAGCGAGACCGCGAGGGTCTGCAGGCTGGGACAGAGGAGGGCGCAAGCGAGCCCCGTGGCAGGCCGCGAGGAGGCCGGCAGAAAATTGCGGAGCGCCGCGCGGCGGCGGACGAGGGCGGCCTTGGGCGGGCGACCGGCGGGGGGGCCGTTCCACAGGAGGAGCCGAAGAGGCAGGGCGCCACGGAGGCGATGTGCGGAAGTCGGGAAGTCGGGCAGGGAGAGGGCCGTGCACCCGCGGCAGCGACCGTGTGGTGGGGGGGGGGGGGGACAGGGAGCGTGCGCGCGCCCAGGGCTGGCGCGCCGGAGGGAGGCCCCAGGTTCCCCTCCCCCCCAGCACACACACACACACACGCACACACACACACACTCACACACACGCACGCACGCACGCACACACACACACACACACACACGCACACACACGCACACACACACACGCGCACACACACATAAATACATACATACATACATACATACATACATACATACATACATACATACATACATACATACATACATACATACATACATATACAGGCAGACATATATACATACATACATACATACATACATACATACATACATACATACATACATACATACATACATACATACATACATACATACATACATACATACATGCATACATACATATATACACACATGCATACATATATACATACAAGCATACATACATACGTGTATATAAATATACATACATACATGCATGCATACATACATACATACATACGTACATACATACATACATACATACATCCATACATACATCTATACATACATACATACACACATACATACAACCATACATTCGTACATACATACTTACTTACACATATACATACATACATACATGCATACATGCACACATACATACATACATACATACATACATACATACATACATACATACATACATCCATACATACATACATACATACATACATACATACATACATACATACACACACATACATACACACATACATACATGCGTGCATGCACTCGTACATACATTCATACATACATACATACATACATACATACATACATACATACATGAATACATGCATGCATACATACATACATACATACACTAACACGCATGCTCTCACGCACACGCTCGCATACGCACACGCACACGCACACGCACATGCACACGCACACGCACCCGCACACGCACACACGAGGCACGCGCACGCACGCGCACGCGCACGCACCCGCACACGCACACACGAGGCACGCGCACGCGCAAGCACGCGCACGCACTCGCACAAGCACACGCGAGGCACGCGCACGCGCATGCTCTCACGCACACGCTCGCACACGCAGACGCAGACGCAGACGCAGACGCAGACGCAGACGCACACGCGCGCGCGCACTCGCACGCAGGAGGGGCGATGAAAACACACGGCCGCTCAAGCAGGCACAGCCCAGCTAAGCGAGTTGAAGCTGGGCCAAAACAGAAGGTGAAACACAAAGGAACGATGCAGGCAGGCCGAACATCGACGGGCCGTTGATTCCTAATTCGGACGACAGGGGACCAGCAGGACAGTGGCAGGGAGGGACGAGCAGAGCGAAGAGAGCAACGAGAAGTGAGGAGCGACAGCCGACAGCCAGAGGACATGGAGGGGGGACGGTCAGGACAGGATGGGCAGCGGGCCGACCGACGGCGACGGGGAAGCCGAGGGGAGGAAAGGAGGCACCTCCTCCTCCTCCTCCTCCTCCTCCATCCTCCTTCTCCTCCTTCCTCCTCCTCCTCCTCCTCCTCCTCCTCCTCCTCCTCCTCCTCCTCCTGGGGACGGGGAAAACACGAAGACGGAAAGCAGACGCCAGCAGGGGACGGAGGCGGGGAAGGAGGAAAGGAGACACAAGCACAAAGGCAAGGGGGGAAGGAAGGGGGCGGGCCCAGCTGAGCGGGTCCTTTTCCCGCCCGCGCCACGCGCGAGCTCTTGAAGACGCGCCTGCATTTCTTGAATGGGAGGGGATTCATGGATGGAGGCTGATCGTATCGGACTCCAGCTTCGTCTGCCACATCTGCCAAGGGGATCGCCGATCTCGCACGTTCTGATTGTTTCGGGCTCCAGCTTCCCGGAAGGTCGGGGAGGCCGTTTGAAACGGTGTCGGGGGCAGCGTCAGCAACGGCGTAGAAAATGGCTTCGTGAACGGCGTCAGCTAGGGCGCCGGGAACGGCGTCGGGTAAGGTATCGGATCACGCGCCAGGTAAGGCACCGGGTAGGCGGACGAAAGAGGCGTCGGGCAAGGCGTCGGGTGGGGAGTCGAAAGGGAGTCGGGAGGGAGGGATGGCGTTCTCCCCCTTCACACACTCACATACATATATACATATTCTTCTTCCTATCTTTTTACAAGCCAGGGGGGGACCCCCCCCCAAAAAAAAACAACCGAGCCCCAAGGATCCGGGGTTTCCGAACCCCGCGGACATCCTTGCCAAAAGGTCCCCCTGGCTCGTCTGGGACCTCCCAGGGCGCCTAGCCGGGTCTTGCCAGCAGACCCCAAACGATCAGAGCGGTGCTCAGAGAGGCCGAAGAGAGACCCAAGACAGCACAAGAGCGCTCCAAGAACGACGCAGATGGCCTCCAGAGGCCCCCAAGACGGCCCAGGAGGCCCTCAACCGGACATCCAGATTGTAGAAATCGCTTCATTCCCGTAGGGAAACGTGCAATTTCAGCATACTCGCTGTTCGGTTCTTCGCAGCGTCCACAACAGCTAGAAAGTCCTACAGCGTCGCACCAACACGACCCAACAAGCCCTCAAGAGAGCTTGGGGGCCCCCAGAAAGGCTATGGGAGGCCACCAGGAGGGCCTACGTTGCCCCGGTAATGTTCCTAGAGGACCCAAGCTCCCTGACACAGCCCAAGATGGCCCCAGGACAGCTCAACAGGGCGCCAAGCCCGCCCGCCTGGGCTCCAATAAGACTCACACGGCGTTTTCATTAAAACTGACCCGAATCCCGGGTTCGCGACCACATTTCCCGAAATTCGATTCCGAACCCGGGATTCGGTCCTTCCTTACGAATTTCAAGATCGCGTGCCCCGTTGCGACCCGCTGCAACATGGCATCCTCGGTTTGGCAGCGCTTTGTACTTTGCAACATCGCTTGACATTGCGTCGGTTTGCTTGACATTCCCTCCCTCTGCTCGTCTGGACCCTCCTCCTCCTCCTCCTCCTCCTCCTCATCATCATCATCGTCAGCATCATCATAAGCAGCAGCATCATCATCACCACCATCACCACCACCACCATCACCATCACCATCACCATCACCATCATCATCATCATCATCATCATCATCATCATCATCATCATCATCATCGTCATCGTCATCATCATCATCATCGTCATCATCGTCGTCATCTTTACCATAATCATCATCAGCAGCATCATCATCACCATCACCATCACCATTACCATCACCATCACCATCACCAGCATCAGCATCAGCATCAGCATCAGCATCAGCATCAGCATCATCATCATCATCTTCTTCTTCATCATCATTCTGCCGCTCGACCACTCGTCCTTCCCCACATCCGCTTCCTTCCCTCGCTCCCCGACATTCCCTCCCTCCTGTCCTTCGCCCTCCACCCAGCGCCTTTCGGGGGCCCCTGGAGGCCCGGGAAGGGCCAGGGACCGCCCGAACTTTCGAAGCCTTCTGCAAACCACCGCAGGGAAGGGGTCCAATTCCCGCGGCCACTAGGAATGGCGCGAACGACCAACATATGCAAAGCCTCAAGGACCAAGGTGCATGGCGCGAAGCGCCATACACAACTAAATGCATTCATTAAAACATAAAAAGCAAATGAATGAATCCATATTTACATATATATATATATATATATATATATATATATCTATATATAACAAAAATGCATGAATGAATAAAACAATAACAACAATGTGTGCATATATACATAAATACACACTGCTACACGGATCCACTGTCTGGCATCCATGTTCTGACATCATACATTGTCTGTTGTTCTTCGTTTTCTCACGCAACCATCGCAACGAATACGCTGTGTGCGTGTGCCCGCTACGACCTCATCAGAACATCCCCTCGCAGCACATGTAAGCGAGAGTGGCCCAGATACAAGAGCACGCTGGAAGGGCAGCAGCTCCCTGTTGGATAGGAAACTGCCAACTGCCCTCCCAATGCCTTGGTGGCATTGGCTGCAGCGTACGCTTCGCCACCGCTTTGGACCACGGTTGCGCCACCACCTGCACAAAAAGATCCGCTGACCCCTTGTGGCCATCGGCGTGTGAGATGCGTCCCCCTCCCCGAACCCCTCCCCCCAGGGCCCGGTCCGATCGGTTTGGAGGGGGTTGGGTCCGGCTGGCCCCGGCTGAACGCGCCACGGGCCTCACGACGGGCCATGAGGGCCTCAAGAGGCTCACAAGATGGTCCAAGAGGGCCCCGAGTCGCCGATGGATCGTTCCAAGACGCCCAAGATGGCCCCCAGACGGCTTCTTTGCAGCGGACAGTGAAGACAAAACCAACGCGCAGTCCAGCACGGGGATGTGCCAGACTGACGTGTCCAAGGACGTCCGAGAAGGCGCCAGGCCCTCAACTCGCGAATCCCGCACGGATGGCTGGTGGGTCTCCATCTTCTCTCCTCCTCCTCCTCCTCCTCCTCCTCCTCCTCCTCCTCCTCCTCCTCCTCCTCCTCCTCCTGGGGCATCGACCCGCTGAGGTTCCGCAGGACCTTCGAATTCCCGTCCCGAAGCTGGCACCCACTGCCAATGCGCCGAGGCGTCGCCGACTTGGATGTCGGCCAAGTCTGGGCCTCTGGCGGCGCTCGGCCTGGAACGCTCGCACTGGAATCGCCCCCCGCGCCGACACGGCGCGAACCTACGGTAGCAACGGGGTCGTGGTGTCCACGCCTGCTCTCTGAACTCCAGGCACCATATCCCCCTGCCTCGCGTCCCTCCGAAGGCCCTCCGGAAACCGCCAGGGCAACTCCTGAGAACCCCCGAGGCCCCGAGGGATCTCCGAAACCATCCAGCTGTTCCCCCCTCCACCTCCCCCGGAGGAGGAGGAAGAGGAGGAGGAAGAGGAGGAGGAGGAGGAGGAGGAGGAGAAAAAGAAAAGAGGAGGAGGAGAAGAAGAAAAGAGGAGGAGGAGGAGGAGAAAGGAGGAGGAGGAGACCCCGAAAACTCCTCCCCCTCCCTCCTTCCCTCCAAGAAGGCACCGAGGCGGGCGGCAAGCTCGCGTGCATGGTGCTGCCCCTCCCCCGCGCATGCCGGGTCCTGCACTCGCGGAGGCCCCTGCAGTTCCCGGGGACGTCGTCGAGGAGCGCGTACTCGGTGCCATCTGGCCGGAGGCGGTGCAGAAAAGACAGTGAGCAGACTCGCTCGCTCTTCTCTCCTCGGGGCCCACACATGTGCGCCACCACCACCTCCCTCACCCCCATCCCTCCCCCAGGAAAGCGGCGAGGAAGAGGGCAGAGGAGGGAGGAGGAATCGACGTGGTGGTGGTGTCTACTCTTCGGGCCCGCACTCTCGGCGGGCGCGCGCGCGGCGACCTGGGCGGGCGGTGTCCGGCGCGCGCGCACGGAGGACCCACCACACACACACACACACAGACACAGACACACGCACACACACACACACACACACACACACACACACACACACACACACACACACACACACACACACACACACACACACGTCATGTCTCCCCCTCCGCGGCGCTGCACCGACGGCGGTTTGTCTACCAACGGGATCTCTCTCTCTCTCTCTTGCATACAAGATGGATTCAACCAAATACCCCAGCAGCTGCTGAAGCCTGACAGCTGATGCAGATGGCTGGAGACATCACGGATTTGTTGCACCCAGCGCCTGAGACCGAACTGAGTCATTGAGCATCTCTTGGGGCATGCCGTTCACCGCGCATGGCGCAGAAACGCTCAGGCATCGTCCGAGCCACTATTCCTACAGAATGGCGAACTCTCGGACACACACACACACTTACTTTTAAAGTCAGCAGCGTGGTGCGCACCAGCCACGCGGTAACTTCTGGAGCCTCCGAAGGTCGACTTACGAATAGCGACCCAAAAGGTCCAGCAAACTCCACTGGTCGTAAATGATCCCGGTGCGAACCATGAAACCACGTCCCTCGAGAGCGTGCGCCGTGGAGGGGGGAGGGAAGCAAAAAACTTCATTGCTGATGGAGGCAGCAAGTGTGGCAGGTGCAGCCAGAACAAGCACGCGCGCTCAGAGGCTATTCAGAAGTCGAAACACATCAAGCGAACTGCCACACATTCCGTGTGAGACCGCACGTCAGTGGTATTAGCCCAGCTCTGCAAAGGGGGGGAACTCCCAAAACCGCAGCTAGTAGAGAGACATAAACAAGAAGAGATGTTGAAGATCCGCCATTGATGCCGACAGCATCGCACAACGCGTCGTCCAGGATCGGGTGAGGGTCGATGCGAGCCGATCGTCACAGAAGCAGGAAGGAATATGACATCCAAATACGCTCACGCACATGTGCGCGCAAATGCACACATCGACACACACACACACACATCGACACACACACACACACTGACACACGGGCGCGCGCGCGCACTCACAGCAGCCTTGCTTGCGACTGATCGTCCGTCCCGTCCTTTGACCACCAGCTCTCATTCGTCTTTGCATCGTAGCAGAGCTTGCCAGCACTATCTGGCTTGTGTACTTTAGCACTTTACCTGTTTTACGTCTGAAGTGCCCTTCGTGGAGCGCCTGCGTTTCACATTTTCGGTGCAGACCACATAAAGATCAAATCCCCAACGACTCACTGTATGTGTCATCTGTACTGCTGGCCGCATTGTTCGTTCCAAAACCTTGGAGCTAAACATGTAGACGTCGCCCCTGTGCTCCCGCCGCCTTCCGCCGAGCTTCCGCCGGCGGAGCCGCCGCCGGTCTACTTCCGCACAAATCCTTCGCGTTCTGATTTGCGATGTCTGGGTGCATTTGCTGGTGTGACTCGCATGGAGGAGGATGGCGGCGAAGGAGGAGCAAGAGGAGGCCAAAGAGAAGGACGACGAGGAGAACGAGGACGAGGAGGAAGAAAAGGGGGACGACAATCAGTTAGACAAGGAGGAGGAGGACGAGGAGGAGGAGGAGGACGAGGAGGGGAAGGAGGAGGGGAAGGAGGAGGGCGAGGAGGCGAAACAGAAGGAGTAGGAAGAGGAGGAGGAGGAGGAGGAGGAGGAGGAGGAGGAGGAGGAGGAGGGCGACGACGACAGCGAGGGAGGGGGGGCTCGGAGGAGTAAAAAGAGGGCGAGGACGAGGAGGGCGAGGAGCGAGGAGCGAGGAGGAGGAGGAGTCGGAGGACGAGGAGGCGGAGGCGGAGGAGGAGGAGAAGCACAAGGAGGCAGGAGGAGCGAGACTGAGGCGAGCGCGCGGGGGCGGAAGGGGGGGCTGGCACTCGTCTGCGTGACGTCAGCGCCCATCCCCGCGCTGAGGCCTGCGGAGGGCGCGGCCCCTTATCTGTCGAACATCTCTCTCTCAATCTCTCTCTCTCTCTCTATCCTACTCTCTTTCTCTCCCTCTCCCTCTCTCTCTCTCTTTCCCTTTCCGTCTCTCCCGCTCTCCCGATATTATCCGCCGATCTGGCGTGGGAGTTTCTAAGAGCGTGGGCTCGAGCTTCGCTCCGCACCAAGGGCGTCCCCGTGCTTCGTTCTCCCAGGCTCGGGGTCCCGTCCCTGCCTGGCCTCCGTCCCTGGCCCCGCCCTGGCCATGGCCCTGCCCTGGCCCCCGCCCGCGTCGACTCGTCGCTCCACATCGTCAGCGTCGTCATCCTTCGTCGTCGCGGGTCGTCGGTCGTCGGTCATCGTTCGCCGTGAACCGTCCATCGTCGTCGTCAATCGTCCTCGTCGTCATTGCCGCCGGCCCTCGTCAGTAATGGTCGTCGTCGGTACTCCGTCGACATTCGTCGTTCGTCGTCGTCTTCGTCGCCAAAGTTTTCGTCAGCGTCGGGAACGCCCCAGATCGGCGCGCTGGCGGGAGACCACTACAGTACCCGCATGGATGTGTTAACCAGCGTGGTCTCCAAACTGTGTGCTTCTAGCCATATATGTTGTGCAAGATATACGTCATCTACTTGGTGCAATATATGTGGTACAACTTATGTTGTGTACTATATGTGGAGCAGCTTATGCGGTACATACATGTAGGTTGTGCAACATACGTGGCGCAACATATGTGGATCCATGTATGTGGTGCAACTGATGTAGTGCATTCTACGTGGAGCAATGTACGTGGTGACACATATATATATACACACGCAGTGCAATCTATCAGGTCCAATCAGTGTGGTGCAGTGTGCGTGGTGTAATTTACGTTGTCCAACGTATACTGCCCATGATACGTGATGCAAACTATGTGGTGCAGCATCGGCGGAGCAATATACAATATACGTGGTGCAACTGTCGCCGGGAAGTTTATTAAATATGACGCAACAAATGTGGCGCAGTCTACGTTGTTGAATCTACGTGGTGCAACACATGTGGCGCAATATATTTGCGGAGCAGCCGATGTGGTGCAAAATGTATGATGCAATGCACGTGGTGCAGTTCATGTCGTTCAATGTATGTGGTGCGTTATATGTGGTGCAATTCCCTTGTGGAAGTCGCAGCTGTGAACCCCACTGCTCGCGCACTCATCCCACCAACCCACCCGCAACTTGTTTTGCAAAACGCATGCGGCGACGATTGCGATGAGTGCTTAGTGTTGGCTGGTGCATCTCTGCAGCCGCGCTAACCCGCGCATGCTTGCGCGTGCAGCGACCAGCTAATTTGGCGCGACCGACGCGGCCGCGGTGGCGCTGACCTCTGGGCATTTCCCAGCGGGCACTTCAGTGCGAGTCGGCCACTTGGGCGGGCGCGGTAGCATGGCAACGCCGACAACGGTACACATGATGATGATAGTAGCGACGCTGGTGACGATAATGACAACGGCGACGGCACGGCTAGCGACGGCACCGATGCTGATCATGCCGACGACGATGACGGCGTCCTCGCGTCGGTGCGGGCTGCCCCACTGGGGCCTTAGGTGGAGCTGCTCCCTATGGGGCCACAACAAATGTGAGGGGTGAACCGAAACAGGGGTGACGCCCACATGCTGGCTGTGCCACTGGGATCGTAGGCGGAGCTCCCTGTGAGGCCACGAAGTGAGTGAAGGGTGTGCCGAGACAAGGGTGACGCCCACATGCGGGCTGCAGCAGTGGGACCTTCGGAGGAGCTCCCTGTGGGGCCACGAAGCGTGCGAGGGGCATGCCGAAACGAGCGTGGCGCCCACATGCGGGCTGCGCCACTGGTGCCTTAGGCGGAGCTCCCTACGAGGCCAAGAAGCGTGTGAGGGGTGCGGCCAAACGAGAGTGAGACCCACATGCAGGCTTCGGCACTGCGACCTTGGGAGTGACGCAAGGCGCTGTCTCCTCAAAACGAGGACCCAACACCACAGCATGGCTGGGAACACACACGCACACACATATATCAATATATATATATATATATATATGTGCATGTTGAGGGTGCAGCGATGGAGTGGGCATAAGTGGACGGAGATACCCGAACCCCCAAACCACCGCCCATGCCAAACTCAACATGATTTCGGGGGCGAGGGGGTGATAAACATCCCCCTCAAGTGTGCGAGGGTTTGAATACTGTTACCCATACACTGGATCGGACTGGCCCCCGCCTGCGACCGCCGCCACGGGCTGCTTCCACGACAAGTGCGCGCCCGGCCCGTCGGTGCTGCTGAGGTCCGCCAGCTCCGCCAGCGGCGCTGAGGCTCCGTAGTGCTCCTCGCGCCTTCTGCCTCGACCCCCACCCAAACAAAAATCCTCCTCCTCCTCCTCCTCCTCCTCCTCCTCCTCCTCCTCCTCCTCCTCCCTTCGTCCCCTCCCCTCCCCTCCCCTCCCCTCCTCTCCCGTGCCCTGCCCTCCCCTCCCGCCGTCCCTCCCTCCCTCCCTCCCTCCCTCCGTCCCTCCTCCTCACTCCTTTCCTCCCTTCCTCACTTCCTTCCTCCATCCCTCCTTCCTCCGCCTGCTCCTCCTCCTCGGACTCCGACTCCTCCTCCCCCAGTTTCAAGGATGGAATGCGGGCCGTTTTCAACGTGGGGCTCTCGCCCCAACGCCGCGCACATTCGTCTTGAAAATTTAGCCAGGCGAAGAACCCAATCATACGCAGTCGTGAGTACCGCGTTGTGGACACCGCGTTCGGTGGAGGCCCCGATGGGCCACGAACATGCGAATGGTGTGCCCAAAAGGGCGGGGAACCGCATGTGGACCCTACTACCACTGGGGCCTTCGAGCGGAGCTCCCTATGGGGCCACGAAGCGTGTGAGGGTTGTGCCGAGGGCGGGGAGCCGCATCTGGACCCTGCCACTGGGGCCTTCGGAGGAGCTCCCCATGTGGCAACGATATGTGATGTGTGAGGGGTGTGCCGAGATGGGCGGGCAACCGCATGTGGACCCTGCCTCTGGAGAACCGCATGTGCACCCTACCGCTGGGGCCTTCGGTGGAGCTGTCTCCGGGGCCACGAAATGCTGTACTGGGTGTGCCGAATTTGTTATCACGTGGAGGGCAGAGGCATTGGTGGGAGGAGGGATGAGGGGGAGGAGGAAGAAGTGAGACGCGGGGCGCTCTCTTCAGAGCGAAGACACAACACCGCAGGATGGTTGGGAATTGCAGCACTTTCAAGGATAAAGGGGGTGGTTTTCAAGATGGTGTTTTCGCATCAGCGCCGCGCACAGTCGCTTCACACAAGTGCAACATACTCAACTATGGATGGCGACGTCTTTCCAACATGTTGTTATCTCCTCAGCTCTGCGCGCATTCGTCCTACATGTAGCAGCAGCTCCAAGGATGGAAATGGGCCTTTTCCAACATAGGTCTATGTTCCTAGCGCCGCGCACAATGTTCCCCAAGCAATGCTTGCGCTTAGGGGTGCTTATTTCTTTTATAAAAAGCCGCCGTCGCCGCCCCGTCGCCACATCGTCGCCGCCCGTCGTCTGGACTGTGTCTTCAGTCTGGCGGCTGTGCGGCCGCCGTCGCCGCGTCGCCGCCTCGTCCCCGCCCGTCGTCTGGACTGTCTTTAGTCCGGCGGCTATGTGCACCGTCGTCGCATCCCCGTCGCCGCCTCGTCGCCGACCGTGCATTGCTACCCCGAGATCTGCACTGCATTGCATTGCGTTGCACTGTTCGCACAACACAGATTGCGCAGCATTGATTCTCCTTTCTAAAAGGAGAATAGACTCTACCCCCCCGGAATTAACGATCCAACTTTTCGTATTGCAATTTACATATGATTCTGCCCCATCGTCCATCCGAAATATGAATTCAGACTATCCCAGCCTAACCGGCATCACTCCCCCCCGCAATCCTCTGCAAACAACTATGCGCGCACCCTCGTTTATCACAAATAATCAGTTGCGTCGCGCGCGCATGCCGAAATCCTTCAAAACTGTCGGTTTCGGACGGATTTCAAAATTGAGCTTCCAAAGAACATACATACATAAAGGGTTTCGCAACACTGATGTTCTAAAAAAACTTACGCGCGCGCGATCCTGCGAAATCTCAAGAAAACCATGAGCTTTTCACAAAATTTGCAAAATACTACCAAACGGGCTTCGCGCGCGCATGTCGAAATCTTTCGAACGCCCTTGCGCGTGTGCCGTCGCGAGAATCCTCTGGAAAAAAATGGGGCGAAGTGCAGACGCGCGCGTCGTCGCGCGCGCATGCCGAAATCCTTCAACAACTCTCGAGTTCGAAAGGATTTCAAAATCGTGTGTCCAAAAAACATACAAAAACACAAAGTTTTGCAACACGGATTTTTCAGAAAAACGTGCACGCGCGCTCTTGCGTCGTCGTCGTCGTCGCCGTCCTCCCTCCTCCCTCGTCGTCGTCATCGTCGTCGCCGCCGTCGTCGTCGTCGTCTTTCCTCGTCGTCGTCGTCGTCTTGGCGTCGTCGTCGTTTCCGTCGTCGTTGTCACCGTGGTCGAGCTTCCTCCTGCCTCGACGTCGTCGTCCGTTGGCCGCGGCCTCGTCGTCGTCCCTCCTGTTTCGTTGCCGTCGTCGTCGTCGTCGTCGTCGTCATCGTCTTCCCTCCTCCCTCGTCGTTGTCGTCGTCGGCGTCGCCGTCCTCCCTCCTTCTTCGTTCCCGTCGTCGCCGTCCTCCCTCCTCCCTCGTCGTTGTCGTCGTTGTCGCCATCGTCGTCCTCCCTCCTCCCCCGTCGTCGTCGTCTTCGTTGGCGGCGTCGTCATCGTCGTCTTCGTCGTCGTCGGCGTCGTCGTCGTCGTCGGCGTCGTCGTCGGCGTCGGCGTTGTCATCGTCGTTGTCGTCGTCGGCGTCGTCGTCGGTGTCGTCGTCGTCGTCGTCGTCGAAGTCGATGGAGACGTCGTCGATGTCGTCGTAGTCGGTGTCGGCGGCGTCGTCGTCGTCGTCGTTGTCGCTGTCGTCGTCGGCGTCGGTGTCGCTGCCAAATGCCATTTGGTACCTACCGTCACGGTCTTAAGAGGTCTTGCGAACAATTTGCGGGTGGGAGGGTGGGATGATTGCACGAGCAGTGGAAAGGACAGCTTCAAGAAAGTCAAAATGAAATTCACCACACAGACTGCACCACACAAATTGCACAACAGAGATCGCACCACATAGGTTCTCCTTTCTAAAAAAAGAATAGACTCCACCACCCTCCCGAGGCCAGACTTATCGGAACCCCCTGGGGACGTGCAGTTTACATATGGTTTTGCCCCATCGCTCATCCTAAATATGAATCCATACCATCCCGTCCGAGGTATCGCCCCCTCCCCCCCCTCCTCTCCAAAAAATGCTATGCGCTCGCATTCGTTTATCAAAAATCAACCGTTTTCAACAACCCCTTGCAAGAGATGGGACGACATGCGCACGCGCGCGTCGTCGCGCGCGCATCCCGGAATCCTTCAAAAACAATTGGTTTCGCAAGGCTTTTCAAAATCAAGTGTCCAAACAACACAAACAAAAAAACACATGGCTTCGCAAACAAACTTGCGCGCGCTCGCTTGCCAATTCTTAGGAGAACCACAACTTGTTCAACATGTTCATAAAATGCTAACAAGCGGGCTTCGCGCGCGCATGTCGAAATCGTTCGAACGCCCTTTGCGCGGGTGCCGTCGTGAGACTCCTTTCTGCAAAAAGAGAGAGCGAGAGAGAGAGAGAGAGAGACAAAGTGCACATGCGTGCGCAGTCGCGCGCGCATGCCGAAATCCGTCAAGAAAACGTTCGGCTTCGTAGCGATTTCGAAACCGAGTGTCCAAATTAGCCTGGCGAAGAACCCCACCCTGTGCAGTTGTAGATACCGCAGTTGTGGGTATCGCCTTCGGTGGAGCCCCCCGATGGGGCCACGAAGAGCTGTGCGGGTGGGGGAGGCGCATGCGGGCTGCGCCACTGGGGCCTTTGGTGGACCTCCCTGTGGGGCCACCGAACGCTGTACTGGGTGGGTGAGGCCCATGCGGGCTGCGCCCTGGAGCCGTCGGTGGAGCCCCCTACGGCGCCACGAAACGCTGTACTGGGAGGGGGAGACGCATGCGGGCTGCGCCGCTGGGACCTTACATGGAGCTCCTCATGTTGCCACGAAGCGTGTGAAGGTTGTGCCAAAGTGAGGGGGGGGGGCGGGATGAGGGAGGAGGGGGAGGAGGGAGGAGGGGGAGGAGGGAGGGGAGGAGGAAGGAGGAAAAGGAGGAGGGAGACGCGGGGCGCCGTCTCTTCAAAACGAGGACTCAACACCACAAGATGATTGGGAAAAACGCCTCCAAAAATACACCTGGTGTGACAACATCAGTGTCCCAAAAACACGCGCTCGCGCTATTGCGACTTCGTGAGAAAACCAACAAGTGTTCAACATGATCCACGGATTTTTCCCAAACGGGCCTATGGCGCCGCATGCCAACATCATTCGCACGCCCATGCGCCCGTGCAGGGGGGGCACGATCCGTGTCAAAGAATACCATGCGGGCGACTCTCGCGCATCGGCCGCGCACGCAGGTCGAACTCCTTCCGAAACCTTCATCACCGACGCGAGGACGCCGTCATCGTCGTCGGCGTGATCAGCATCAGCGTCCGCACTGGCCGCGCCTTCGTCGTTGCCAACATCGTCACCAACATCGCTACTATCATCGTGTCTACCGTTGTCGACGTTGCCATGATACCGCGCCCGCCCAACTCGCCGACTCGCATTGAAGTGCCCGCTGGGATGTGCCCAGCGGTCAGCGCAACCGCGGCCGCGTCAGTCGCGCCAAACTAGCTGGCCGGTGCGCGCGCGTGCTTGGGTTGGTGCGGCCGCAGAGATGCACCAGCCAACACCAAGCACTCATCGCAAGCGCCACCGCATGTGCTTTGCAAACCAAGTTGCGGGTGGGTGGGTGGGATGATTGCGTGAGCAGTGGAACTGACAATGCATTGCGACCAACAAATAATTGCACCATATCGATTCAACCACGTACATCGTACCACATCGATTATACCGCATAAGTTGTTCAATGTAGATTGCAACACGTAAAATGCACCACCTACTTTGTACAACATAGATCGCACATATGATGTTGTACACCATCGATTCCACCGCAGATATTGCACACCATAGATCGCACCACAGATGCTGCGCAATATCGACTGCAAGACATATGTCGCACCACAGATATTGCTTCACATGTTTTGCACATCGTCTACTTAGGCAGGACGAAATATGTTCCTCTGGAGGTGAAAATGGCGATGAAGAGTTCACAAAATAACATCGGCGCCGCCGAACGGAAGGCGTCTGGACGAGCTGGCGCAGCAACTGGGAGGAGAGATATGTGTTCATGTTGAGTACGGCCCGCGCGCGCTGAAAGTTTATGGGGGTACGCGAAACAGCGCAAAACCCATCCTGGGAAATTGATGACCGAACCCCCCTCCCCCGTATAATCTCAACACGGGCGGGTTCTGGGGTCCGCGGATCCAATTCCTCCCGGCTCCCATTTGTAATTAAAGTGCAAATGTAAAATAGGGTAGAACTGGGTTCCGCCGTAGAAACAAAAAACTGTATGCAGATCCGTAAAAGCCGTAATCGGATCCGCGCGGACGGAAATCGGATCCACCGAAACAGAAACCAAAACCAAAATCTGACCCGCGCGAACTTCATTGGATCCGACGGCGGTTATCTCATACGCGTCTGCTCAAGATTTTAAACCGCCGTTCTGAGCCCGAGAGGAAAACAACTTTCGTCCTGGGGGTGTAGCGCAAAAGACACACTTTCTCGTGTGCACGCTGATTCAGAGTTTTGAAAATTGGCAGTGGCTGCAAGGATGGATGGGGTGGGGTCAAGATTGGGTTTCGTCTTAAAATGCTGCAACAGCTTCAAAGATGTAGAACGGCTCCTTTTCAAAGTGAGGCTCCCGCCATAGCGCCACCTACGATCTTCTCAACATATACATATGCGTGAAAAAAGTTTGGCCTTTTTGGGGGCATAGCCGAAGTAAAGGCTACGATGCATTCAAATTCCGCTGTGGCATGAGGGGGTGCTGCCATCTGTGTCGTTGTGATGTGGTTCTGGCTGCTCTGAAATACCATCAGTGCTACTTAGGCCCAGCAGCGCCTGAGTCCCCCAGTGACTGTGAGCACCCAGATGCATGTGGCAACCACATCGCCAAGCCCCTCCCTCATCCTTCCACCCTGCGTCCCTCCAAATGGTCCCAAGAAGTTGCAGCAAGGGTAAACTGGTGGACGAATGTGTATTGGATCTGCGGTCCGAACCGAAACTGATGCGACCACACACGCATTTCTTCCAAGAGAGTCGTTCTTTGCCTCTTGGATTCGGCCTGAGTCGGATGAATGCTACCTGAGCCCAGCAACGCCTGAGCACAACTGTGACAGTGAGCACGCTGCCGCCTGTGAGCACCACATTGCCAGTGAACACCAGGCACGCAGAGCACAACAATATCGATGAGCCCTGAAAGTTGATTGATGCGCGCTCCTTCCTCACCCTTCAACCCCTCCTCACTCCCAGTTGTCCCAAAAGTTGCAGTAAGGACAACGTGGGTGAATGTCTGTTGGATTTGCGGTAGGAATCGAGACTGTTGCGACCACACGCGCGCTTACCTCTAGAAGGCCATGTTTGGAATGCTGGATTGGGCCTCGGAGCCGGATCAGTACTACCTGAGTCCAGCAACGCCTGAACACCAATGTGACTGTGAGCACCCAGCCGCCTGTGAACGCCACATTGCCAGCGAACACAACTGCTGACAAGCAGCTCAAGTACGCAGAGCACGACAATATCAATAAATCCTGAAGTTGAGGGATGCAAGCTCCTCCCTCATCCTTGCACCCCGCCTCCCTCCAGCTTGTCCGCAAAGTCGCAGCAAGGACAAACTGAATGAATCTATAATGGATTTGCGATAGGAATCGAGACTGTTGCGACCACACGCGCATTTACTGCTAGAAGGCTGTGTTGTGACTGCTGGATTGGGCCTTGGAGCCCGCGTCAAACACGAAATAAAACAGAATTGCAAAACACAAAAAACGGAAGAAGGCGAACTGATTCAAAACATGCTGATTTTCCAATAGGGCCCAGGGCCGAACGAGCGACACGAGCAAAAAGTAGCCCTGACAGGCGGCTTGGCTCCTAAATGTCCGTGTTTGGGGGTGACAGCAGTATGCCCCTGGGGGAAGGGTGGCTTTGTCTCCCCCGGCACGTCCCCGTCCCGCAGGGGAAGCGCCGCCCCGTGGGCCTCTCCTTGCTGAAAAGAGAGAGAGAGAGAGAGAGAGAGAGAGAGAGAGAGAAAGAGAGAGAGAGAGGTCGGCCAGACCGAGACGCGGCCAAGCGTGGCCAGCGGTGAGGCGAGAACGCATATCGTCGTGGTCGCCGTCGTGGTCGTCGTCGTCGTCGCCGCGGCCGTCGCTTTTTGGAATGGGGCGCACGCCATTTGCAGGGGATGTCCCGCGCGATTCTTTTGTTTGGGACCTGTTTGGGGCCAAATTCCACGTTTATTTCCCAGGACTTCTCAAGCGAAACGCTCGTTTTCCAATTTTTCGGAACCCACTTCTCTTCTTTGGAACCGCTGTGGAACAGTCAAGAAAACCATTTTGGCGAGGACGCCCCACGCGGTTTGGCATTTTGGAACCGCCATCCCACTGTGCGGAACCATGTTCCAATCGTATGTTGAAGGAAGTCCCAAGCGAAATGCTCATTTGCGAAATGTTTGGAACCAAATTCTATTGTTTCGAACCGAGTTCGAACTGTCAAGACAGCAATTATTGTGAAGATGTCCCACGCGGTTTGCCGTTTTCGAACCGCCATCCTTTTGTTTCGAACCAGGTCGGACGCTGCATTTTGGAGGAAAACCCGCGCGAAACGCTCATTTTGCTTTTGTTTCGAATCGGAATCTACTGCTTCGAACCGAGTTCGAACTGTCAAGACAGCCATTTTAGTGAGGATGTCCCACGCGGTGTGCCGTTTTCGAACCGCCATCCCGTTTGGCATAATAGAATTTTCATTCAGCCCCAGGTCGCCCTCCGCCCCGAAAGCGAGGCACCTCCCTCGTAACATTGTACCAGGCTCCACGTCCCTAACGGGGCGACTAGCGACGTGTGTTCGCATTGCGGACTAAGGATGCACGTTTGCCGACCCGTCAAAATGGGGCAATCTTTCATCACGGCACAGTGGTAGCAGCTTCTAGGATGAAGCGCTGGTAGTTGTTTTTTGGAGCTATAGCTTCAGCTCCGCGTGCACTCTCAGTAATAGCTCGCAGCAATTAGATGGATGAAGAACCGTTCCTTTCGCAAAGTAGGAGTATCGTTGGACTCTTTCTTCTTTTCAGGACCCAAAACTTCAACACATGTAGCACTGCAAGGATCGATGGCGGCTCATTGTCAAGTTGGAGCTCTTGTTGGAGACTTCTCCGTGGATCATGGCCACACTCATCGAATTGTGTAACACTTGCACGTGTGTATGTGTGTGTGGGCTTCCTCCCCGAAAGGGGGGATCTCGATAGAAAACTCGCTGTGCTTAAGATCATATTTCGTGCGTTCTGAACTACGCGCCGGCAGGATGCAAAGCGGGTCCTTCTCAACACGGGGCCCTCGCCCAAATCGCAGGTTCATAGTTTGGCGCTGGTCTAGATCATCAAGGGGGCGCTTCTTGTAGTAAGAGGGAAAGTTTGTAGGGATGTATGCGAAAGGTGGCTTGAGACGGGAGGGTGTATTGCAGCATCGGTGATGCATATTGTGTTTACTCTGGTCCTCCTCCTCCTCCTCCTCCTCCTCCGCCTCCCCTTCTTTTCATCCCTCCTCCTACTCCGCCTCCTCCTGCTCCTCCTCCTCCTTCTCCTCCTTCCCCTCCACCTCCTCCTCCTCCTCCTCCACCTCCTCCTCATCCATCCTCGTCCTCGTCCTCGTCCTCGTCCTCGTTCTCGTCGTCGTCCTCCTCCTCCTCCTCTCTCTTTTCTCTCCTCCTCCTCCTCCTCCTTCTCTTCCCGGCTTGCCCTGGGTCTGGCAACTGCCCTGGGCCAGCCGCCAGGCGTGACGCGATAGGCGTGTAGGTCCAGGTCGTGCGCCTTCTCCCAGTGGAGCGTGACGCGGTAGTCGCCCTCCTCGCAAGCTCGCGAGGCAGCAACGACTGGCCAGGCGACACGGCCTCCTCCTCCTCCTCCTCCTCCTCCTCGTCCTCCTCCTCCTCCGTCCCCTCCACCACCTCCTCCTCCTCCTCTTCCTCCATCTCCTCCTCCTCATCCCTCCTCGTCCTCGTCCTCGTCCTTGTCCTCCGCCCTCTCCGCAGCCGCTGAGATCATCAACACGCATGACATCGAGACGCATGCCCAGGGAACGCCGCAAGGAGGCTTACTTGATGTTTTTCGAGGGGCAAGTTTCGACCGCTCCGACGCTTCGGCATGATTCCTTTGGGCACCCCATGGTGACCATCGTCAAGATGTGCCGGCTCCGTTGGAGTCTTATGGCACCTGACACACATGCGATATAGGATATATGGGCCCACAGGGAAGCTAGTTGATGATAGCTCCGTTGAAGGCAGGAACAAAGTCCTCTGATATCTCTTCTTCATTCCCCCTCCTTGGGCACCTCTTGTTCCAAACTTTGGTTCTGGGGTTACGTTAGAAACGTCCGTGTGAGGTGACGTGTCGATGAAATGAGCAGCAGAAGGATGATGGCGATGATGAGTGGCGGTGGAACTTGACAGGCATTGGGGAGAGATTCAAAGAGACGAGAGCAAGACAATTAGGAGTAGAGGCGAGGGTTCGGAAAAAGAGAGATAGAGAGAGAGAGAGAGAGAGAGACAGACAGACAGACAGAGACAGGAAGAGAGGGGGAGGGGTGGGAAAGTGGAGGGAGGGAAAAAAGCGGGAGGAGAGAGAGAGAGAGCGAGGGAGAGAGAGAGAGAGAGAGAGCGATACACTGAGGCCAGAGAGAGACAGAGAGAAGGAGGGAGCGAATGAGAGGGACGGACGGTACGCATACTGGGCGCGAAATAGGAAGCGCCTTCAACGCGGGGAACAGCAATACGTCCGCCAGGAAGTTCCCCGCCACGTGGGAATGGCCAAACTCGCTGGTGATGGTGAGGTTGCGCTGAAATGGGCAGCGCCATGGACGGTAAGGTACTTCTCGATGCGTTTCAACATCGCCAGGACAATTAGCAAACATTGTCAAACAGGTGTTCCAGCACTTCCGAAACGTAGGCCAACACTTGTACAACGGGCTCCCCCAAACTTATCAAATCTATGACTTTGGGATATACTTGTTTGGGTTAGCGAATTCGCAAGCTTTGCCAACATGCAAACCTTACCGAGCATGGCGCACCGTCAACTGACAAAATCAGCACAGTAACTTAACTGGAGAAGGACGACGACGAGAAGGAGAAGGAGAAGGAGGAGGAAGGGAGAAGGAGGAGGAGGTGCAGGAGGAGGAGGAAAAAGAGGAGGGGAAGAGGAGGGGGGGGGAGGAGGGCGAGGAGGAGTAAGAGGAGGAGGGGGAGGGGGAGGAGGAGGAGGAGGAGGAGGAAGGAGGAGGAGGAAAGAGGGAAAAGGAGGAGGACGACGAGTAGAAGGAGGACGACGAGTAGAAGGAGGAGGAGGAGGAGGAGAGAGGAGGAGGAGGAGGAGGAGGAGGAGGAGGAGGAGGAGGAGGAGGAGGAGGGGGGGGGAGGGGGAGGGGGTTGGGGAGGGGGAGGGGCGGAGGAGGGGGGCTGGGAACTGGTGGTGGTGGAACCGCGTCGGGGGCGCCCGGTCGGGAACCCAGGCCGGCCACGAGCCAGCCCCCACGCCCAGGTCAACGAAGGGAGGGGGAGGAGGAGGAGGAGGAGGAGGAGGAGGAGGAGGAGGAGGAGGAGGAGGAGGAGGAGGAGGAGGAGGAGGAGGAGGAGGAGGCCCACACCCAGGCCAGCGAAGGGAGGGGGGTTGGGGAACTGCACGTGGCTCCCACTGGCTGGCCCCTTTTGACGCGGGCCCCCCGCTCCCTGCCACCCGACCGCCATCGACGCAGCCCGCCCCCGCCCCCCCAGGCCTCGACGATATCTGGCTCCTGGCACGGCGCGGGGGCGGTCGAAACTCTGGGATTGCCTGTTCCAGGTGCTACGCCCTGGGGCGCTGAGGCCTGGGAGGTAAGATCACCAGGTCGACGCTCGAGAACAAGTATTCACCAGAATTCCCACGGCGGCGACGGAAAAAACAAAAAACACGATGCAGGGGGGGTCCCAAATCTGGCGGCCAACGCCCCGGACCCTGAGTAAGTGTTACAAAAAATTGGCGGCGGCCGCGCGCAAAAGCCAAACCGACAATATAAAGACGAGGGCGGCGGACTCTGCGCACACTATATGTGCTACGTGACATGAGCATGGAAAGATATCGTTGTAGATAATGTATGTAGACGAGCTTAACTCGCGCGCATGCGTGCGTACATTCTTACCACATATACTTTTGATGTGAAGATCGTCGGGCCGCGAAATACGAGCCGGAATCCGACGCCGCAACCCAAGTCAAAAATACCTCAGTTCTCTTATCCGAAAGCGCCCGCAATCGGTTCCAAAACCCAGCGAAACCTTCAACCCACGAGCGCGCACCGAAAACATAAGTAACAACACATGTCCAAGAAACGTCTGGAAATATCACGCTTCGCCGTCGTTTACCCCCCCTATAGGCCCGAACTCTCCATGCCACCGCGACGAATTACACAACATAGTTCTTCTGACCCCCCCCAGGCCCGAAACACCCACACAAAAGGAACAACCGCGCAACCGCGACGAATTGCACAACATAATTCTGTTTCGAAGGGAGCAAACGCGCAACCGCGCCGAGGCCTCTGGCCTACGGCCCAGGCGCGGTAGCGGGGTGGGCTGAAGGCAGTCTTACAAACAACCCATGCAAATTCGCGGCGGCGGCGGCGGTCCCGAACATTAGGTGCACTTTGCAAAAAACGGATTCGGCGACGGCGGCCCGCCCAGAGACTGGGTGGCGTGGAGGCTTAGTAGACCAGGTGATGAGGTAAGGAGGGGGACCCGTCCGTCATGCTGTGGCGGGCGCTTCCGAGGCAAATGTTCTCTGCTTCAGATGCTGCCGTTTCTGCGAGGAGAACGGGGGGGGGGGCCGGGGGGGGAGACAGATGACAGGGAAGAGCAGCGGTACCGGCTTCAAGAACATCAGCAACGGGAGACGGAAGAGGAGGAATGGGACGAGGAGGGGGATGCCCTGCTTGGGGCGAGCGCTGCATACACTCAGCGAATGTTGCGCGTCGTCCTTGCGCAGAGGGCACGCGAATATGCTGCTTTAGAGTTTCAAACCACATGGGCGTCCCTTTGGAAAGAACCGCAGCAGAAGAGAGGTTCCTTCTCCTCCGCCGTGTTCCCCTGTCGCTCTTTTGCACCTTTTCTCTCTTTTCCGTATTTCCCCTCTTTTTCTCCTTTTCCTCCTCCTCCCCCCCCTCCTCATTCTCCATCCCTTATCCAAAATGAATTACTCCTCGCTGCCGCACCCCCAGACGTGTCGCCATCAGTGATCCTGAAACTTGAAAACCATAACCGAAGCACCGATGGAGTGCGGGCCACTTTCCAAATGTGGCTCTCGCGTCGACGCCGCGCACATGCGCCTTGAAAGTGTGCAATAGCTTCGAAGATGCATGGCGGGTCCTTTTCAAAATGAGGCTCTCGCCCCAGCGCCACGCTTGCAGCAGCTGCCAGGACGGAGGGCGGGTCCTTGTCAAAACGCGGCTCTCGCTTCAGCGCCGCGGCGCGCATTCGTTGAACAAGTTCGCAGCAGGTCCAACGATGGAGGCAAGATGCGGCTCTCGCCTAACGCCGCGCGCATTCGTCCTAAAAATGTGTAGCCGCTTCAAAGACGGAAGGCGGCTCCTTTTCAAAATGTTCTTATCGCCTAAGCGCCGCTCAGACTTGTTCTCAAAATTGCAACCGTCGCATCAGGATCAAGGCTTCGTCTGGTTGAAGTCCCACGAACGGTGTCCTGGCACGGTTTAGGATTGCCAGGATGCAACAGTATATTTGGGCTGCTGCTTGGGTCCAATGAATTGCGTTCTGGCAGTCAGGAAGCAGCAACCATGGTGATTCGCAGCATCGAAGTCGCAGGAACGATGTTTTTGAACGATTGGGGATTCTAAAACCTTCCACTGGGGCTTCCACCGTGATACTGAATTATTGTGGGGGCCTTCTGAGAGGGAGCGTGGAAGGAGTTTTGTTTGCAACGTCGTTGGCGCGTGTTGGGTTTACACTGGTCCTCGCCCTCTCCGCTTCCTGTTTCCATTCCTCCTTCCCGCCCCGCCCTCCCCTCCAACAAAAGGGAAACGGGATGACCTCAGCCTCTCGCCCGCCCGCTCCCGTCTCGCGTTGTGCCCCCCCCCCCCCCCCTCTGTCGCCCCCGCTTGCATCCTCCGTCGGCGCAACCGCCGCGAGGGAGCCTGGGGCCCGACCTGCGGCAGGGGAGCAGGAATCGCCCGCCGCGTGTCCTGGCGGCCCCCGCAGGAGCCGAAGGGCACCCTCGGCGATTCGGGGCTGTCGAAATCGGCTGTCGAAACGGGCTACGGGGGGGGGGGGAAGGGGGGGGCGGCCAGATTTCTGGGGGCCCGAACTCTTCGAACAATCGCGGCGTCGGGGGTCCGTGTCGACAGCCGCGGGGCGCGGCCGGAAAGGGAGACCAATGGCCGGCACCCCGCCGCGCCCCGAGAGGCTGCGCGGGGCAGCCCGACGCGGTCACGACACGGAGAAGCTCTCGGTGGCCAGGCCATGCCTCAGGCACTCGGGGGCTCGCAGCGCACTCCTCTCGCCCACCGAGGGGGAACGCCCCCTCTTCCCCATGCAAACGGCCCACCCCCCCCTGGCCCCTTGCCCCCCCCCGCCCGCACACAGGACCGCGGGCGTGCTCACGACGCCGCAGGCCGACCAGAGAGCCGAGCCCGGACCACGGCGACAGCAAGGGGGACCCTCTGGCGACCAGCGCCCGGCACGCCGCCGCGGTGGGCTCGTCCTGATGGGCGTGTTTTCCACCAACACCACCATAAGTTGGAGGGGGGGCCTCCTCCTCCTCCTCCTCCTCCTCCTCCTCTTCGTCCTCGTCTTCCACCCCCTGGTGGGCAGCGGTGTAAGAATTGTTTCTCGGCTGGCACCCTTTCAGGTGCCACTTACGGGTGCGACATTTTCGGCATCTCTGATTTTGAACACCTGCAGCTGCGGCGGCTCGCAGGCAAGGCTATGAAGCTGTCGGCACAGGGTATGAGTTTGGCAGCGCTCCTTCTTTGCCACGGCGACCCCACTTGGACAACTGCGGTCGCCCCGATCGCGAGATGGGCTAAGGAAGTTTGGATCACGCACCGCAGGCTTTATCCTTTTTCCCACCTCATTCGCCACGCTTCGTTCGGCTTGGAACGCTGTGTTCTCCAGGGACTCTGGGCTTTGGAGGTCCGTTTCGGGCCCGATTAGTGCGATGAGGAAGTCTCTTGAGAGAATCTCGTGGTCCATGCCCTCTTTCACGGTGCTTCGCAATGATCGCGGCATCGATATCCACCCGACGGAAGTTTCGCCCGCCATGGTCAGGTCCTTTTTGAAACGGGCGGTGATGAAAACGCTCGAGTGGGACCTGGGGGCCAGGCTCAATGTTGGCCGTGCCTGTGGTGACGGCATCTTGTCTTGGCTTCGAAGTAGGAGCATTACCCCGTTCGAGAAAGGTCGTATCCGATCATTTTTCTGTCATGCGATCTACACCCGGTCCCGTGCTCGAGGGTTAGGCTATCAGATCTCGGCCACCTGTGATCTATGCGGAAAAGCTGACGACATACCTAGGCATATATGATCCCGGGTCGAGGGTTCACGGCCCCCCCCCCCGATGGTATGGTCCCAGGATTCCTCGGCCCCCCCCCCCCAGATGGTATGGTCCCAGAGACGACGACGACGACGACGACGGCGACGACGACGACGGCGACGACTACGACGACGGCGACAACGACGACGACCACGACGACGACGACGACGGCTGCGGCGGCGACGACGCCGGCGGCGGCGGCGGCGACGACGACGATGACGACGATGACGACGGCGACGACGACAATGACGACGACGACGACGAGGACGACGAGGACGACGAGGACGACGAGGACGACGACGACGACGACGACGACGACGACGACGACGACGACGACGACGACCTCTGAACCACCACAGCACCACACCACATCCACAGGGGGGGGGGAGGGGGGCACCGCAGCGCAGCACCACGCCACGCCCACCTCTGAACCACCACAGCACCACACCACATCCACAGGGGGGGGGGGGGGCACCGCAGCGCAGCACCACGCCACGCCCACAGGGGGGGGCGGGGGGGACCATCGCGCGGGGGGGGGGGGCCCAATGGCATCAGCATTGGGGGGGGGGCCCAAGCCCTGGACCATATATTGTGGAAATGTTCTGCATGCGAGGAGGCTCGGTCCTCCCTCATCATTGCCAAGGTGCGTGATTGGGCTGAGAAAGCGGATGATGTTCTTGCTTCCTTCGGAATTTTCGAGCATCCTGGCGACAAGCTTCCTCTGCCTGTGTATTTCGACGGTGCCTGAAATATGCCCTGGCTTCGAACACCTGGACTTCGAAACCTCGCTCTCGGGAGAAATCTTCGTTGACATGTCCTACTTTAACCATGTCATCCCTGAGTTGTCACGAGCGGGCGTGGCTGCTACTTTGCTGGATCGTCAGACGCATGAGGGGGTCATTCGCATCAGGGGCCCCGTCTGGCCTCCCGCGCATACAATCATGCACTCACGGCCGCCACTCGGCATCTCAGTGGTCGCTCCACCATGTTCAGTGATTGTTTACATGTCTGCGATTATGTGAAGATGTCATGGATGAACAAGACGTATCACAACATATTGTATGCTGGATGTGCTCAGTTCGTTAGACAGAACCTTCCTTGCTTCATCATGAAGAAGGTGAAAGCTCACCTGGACGTGGACGCGTCAGATGACAAGTTTAAGCGGCTGGGTAACAACCTGGTCGACGCTTCAGCTCAAGTTGCTGCCCGATCTCACCCCCAGCTTGATCCGCTGCGGTTGGAGGAAGTGGATCAGAAGGTCGCTGTCTCTCGCGCTGTTGGCGTTCTGGCAGCGACATTGCTGCCCCTTTGGCCGCTTCTGCGGCTGGGAGAGGGAATTGACCGTGTGAGACCGCCGGTGGCGCCCCGTCCCGACCTCGCCCCGCACCGCTGGATCCGCCTCTCGAGATTCTGGCGTTGCGAGGGTTGCTGTAAGGTCCCCCGATCCGATTGCATCCCGCCGCCTGGCCTGTGTCGGGGGCTTCAAAAGCTTGACCCCGAAGCCTTGGCCAGGCTCCAGCACCGTGTAATTAATCTCGACTGCTCGGATGGCGCCTTGCTCGTGGTCTGCTTGCGTTGCAGGGCCTACTCGGGCCATGGCATGGTGCGCAATCTGGCTCGTGTTTGTAACGGCTCCCCCATAAGCTCGGGAGCCAAGTCCGCTTGGAAGCAGATAGCCCCCCTTGGTGTTCACCCGAAACTCCCTGGTGTTACGGTCCAAGCGGGGCCCTGGTTTCAAAGTACCTCAGGTACTGGCCAGAGAAGTCGTAGCCCTTCGATGCGGCCTCTATTTCCAGAGGTGTACGGCATAGCGCAGGAAAAAATCCTCCCCCCCCCATCCAAGTTATAGTGGTGGTGGTCGAAAACAGGCTCATCACGTCCCGTCAGCGCCGCCTGGCCGCCGCCGCCGCCGAAGGGCCCGCAGCTTCGTCGTGGGCGGCCCTCCTCTCCCGTGGGCGCGTGCCGCACGGGCCGGCCGCCCTGCCGTACAGCCCTCGGCGGGCCGTTCCTGCCACGGGCGAGGGCGCGGCGCACAGCGGCGCACTCTCCGCCGTGCCTGCCACGGGGGGCGCGAGACAGGCGACCAGGAAGACGAGGAGAGGCGATCAACCAGGGGAGGGAGGAGGAGGAGGAGGAGGAGGAGGAGGAGGAGGAGGAGGAGAGGATGGAGGAGGAGGAGGAGGAAGAGGAGGAGGAGGAGGAGGAGGAGGAGGAGGGAGGAGGAGGAGGAGGAGGAGGAGGGAGGAGGACAAGCTAGGTGCGCTCGCGTCAGATATGACGTCCTACCCCTCCCTCCCATCCCTTACCATGGCGCTGATTTTCTCTATCCGCGGACGCGTGTCGTAGCGGACCTGTGGCTCCGCGCGCGCGTGCGTAGTGGGTGGTGGTGCACGTGCGTGCGTGCGTGCGTGTGTGCGTGGTTGTCGTGGTGGTGGTGGTGGTGGTGGTGGTGGTGGTGGTGGTGGTGGTGGTTGGTGGTGGTGTGGTGCTGGTGGTGGTGGTGGTGCTGGTGGTGGTGGTGTTGGTACTGGTGCTGGTGGTGGTTGTGGTGGCGGTGGTGGTGGTGGTGGTGGTGGTGGTGGTGGCGGTGCGGCGCTGTGGTGGCGGGCGGATGGGCGCGCGAGAAAAAGGCCCGCGCTGGGGCGAGAACGCCATCCTGAACGACGGAGGCCAAACACCGATCCGAAAATGAGGCCCACGCTGCAGCGGGAGCACGATTCGGAACGATTCGGGGGCAGAAATGAAGCCGGCGCCTCAACGAGAGCAGCATTTTGGGAAAAAATGACGCCGGCGCCTCAGCGAGAGTCGTTTCCTGGGATTTCCCGGGAATCCTGCGTGTAAAAAAACAGTACGCGGAGGGTGCGCGGCCATCACCCGGACGCCATCAGGGGAAGAGGGAGAGTATTTTCATATTGAGTAATTGTGGAGGGGGAGGAGAAGGAGGCGGAGGAGGAGCAGGAGGAGCAGGAGGAGCAGGAGGAGGAGGAGGAGGAGGAGGAGGAGGAAGGAGCGAAAAGGGTTTTCTGACCACGGCGAACCGCGGCCACGAAGGGGTCCCCCGACCTACACCAAAGAGGCGCCCCCAAAAAAGCGAAAGGCCCTTGAGCCCAAAAGTGACCCTTCTTTGGCGGCGCGCAGAGGGGGTAGGGGGGGAGGGGGGAAGGTCTCCTAATTGAAACACCCCTGCTCCTTACAAGGCGCGGGCTTTACATCCACAGACAAGGCCCGCGCCTTTTGAGAAGCAGGGGTGCTTATGAGAAACCTCCCCTCCTACCGTTATCTCTATCCCCCTCTGCGCGTGGCCGAGTTATTTCAGCGTCGTGCCTGTACAGGTCGGTGGCTGAAGTCTGAAGCGTTTTCCGGCTGCCTCTGGCGGTTTCCGGAGCATCATAAATGCGACGATCGAAAACGGATCTTACGCGAGATGACATAGCGACCTTACGCGGCGGCTCACCCGGGCCGCCAGCGCGGCATGCTACTTTGGAGACGAGGGCGCTTACGTGCCCGCTGACGCGGGCAGCTTACGCGCCAATGTCGGTGAAGACGGTCCCGTTTCTCTACGTCGTTCATAAGGCGACAAGGTCTGCACATATGCACTGCCCATGGCCAGGCCCGTCCTGGTCATATAGGACGGGCCTGGCCCGGAGCAGTGGATACTTGTGCTGACCAAAACCCGCACAGCGAGAAGGCAGAAGCTTCTTGAATGTCCTGCGAAGGAGCCCTGTCGGCTACACGCAGGAGAGACCCTGGGCAAAAGTGACCTTTGATGCGCGGACTAAGGGGGCGCAAGGCGGCCAAATCCAAGCACGCAAGCAGCCGCTATCGCATCGCGCTCAACGATCGGGCGAATCCCGATGGGCCCGCACCAAACGCCACTCCGGCGAAGGGTCACTAACATGTGTAGTCGACTCTGGAAGCTCTAGGAAGGAGCTTCTGGGAAGCTCCAGGGCACACGTATTGGGAAACAGTAACATAAGGACTTCCAAGACACGCTGCCGGTTCACAGGAGCCGCTGGGTCGTTCCCGGCCAGAAGCTGAAACGAGCTCTGGAGTTACCCTTGCCTGCCGGCTTCTCATCTAACGACCCTCCCAGAGACCGACGTCGCGATTTTTTCACAACGTCGACCCCCAGAGACCTGGACGCCTCCCCCGGGGACCGAGCTTTCATCCTGAGTCGTTCTTTGAGGGCCCGGGGCCCGGCAAGGGCCTCCAGAGGCCGAAAATAATGAAAACCTTCCGTCGTGATTTGTGTCACGACGCCAGCTCTCTGCGGGCTACGGTTGAAAGAAACAAAATTTGCACCACCTGGGCGGTACGACAACTGATGATGCGACCCCTCCGCCCACGACCTTAACATTGAGAGCGGACGCGCACGCTGAAATGAAATGTATCATTATTTGTTCGAAGGGCCCCGGGAGATGTCACAACTATCAATATTAAAGTCGGGGGCGCGGGGGAGCAGCAGCGCCATCCGATTCGCAGCTCAAGCCAAAATGGTGCAAACTTTTTTCTTTCAGCAGTATCCAGGAGTGTGCAGATCGGCGGCCGACGCCAGGGCAAGCCGCAGAGCAGGCCTGCGGCCCCCCGCCGCCTGCAGCAGGCTCGCGGCCTGCACGGCGAGGCCGGCAGCGCCCCCACTGCCGCGAGGAGGAGCTCCCTTTCCCTTCGGGTTTGTGTTGGTGCTTCCCCTCCTTTCTCTCTCATTGCACCGACCTTGCAGACGTACTGCAGCGGATTTTCGCGTGGATTTCTGTCAATGCAGAACCCGAAACGGTGAGCGAAAAACGAAGTGAATTTCACGTGGATGTTTTGTAGTCTTCATTCCTGACCAGATAATCCGAACGAAATCCGGAACGCAACTCTCCAGGGCAATCCGGGCCCATCCCATTTTTTTCCGAGCGAAATCCGCTCTGCGATGTTGGCGCCATGATCTCTCTCTCTCTCTCTCTGGCTGCTCGCTTCGTTACTCTGCGCCCTCACAGGGCATTTCTACCTTTAGCAGCTAGATTTGCCTCACACCGATCTGCAGCCTTCCTTTGTTGCCGCTAGATCAGCATCGGATCGCTACACCTTGTTTTCCCTGCCAGAGCGCTACAAGCATAGCCCTTCTTGAAGTCCGCCCAACTAACTTCCCTTTGGGCGCACGCCTCTGTGTCCTCGTAGCCCTCGCGGCTCACGACCACGAGGTTTCTGCCGATGCCGACACCGTGGGCAAGGAACCTCCCCATCTCGTTCGTCCACACGGAGCGGCCGACGCCCACGCTCACCTGTGCTAAGTTCCATGAATCGCAACACCCTCGCACAAAAGCAGAGCACGTTAGCGCAATAGGCGGCAACCAGCCGAGCGATTGTCTTACGGCGCAAGTCAAACCCAAATCTCCCACCATACAACTATTTGGCCGGCTCCGAAAACAATGAAAAGCCATATCTTGGGCGCCGCTTTTGCTTCCGCCTGCTTCCGCCGCCCTTCCGCAGAGGACGATACGTTAAGTTCTAGATCCCTCTAAGGTAAAGCTTTTTCTGGAGCGCACAATAGGGGGGTCACGAACTGCGAGCCTCCCGCTGCACAGGTCCAAGAGACATCCCCAAACATCGACAAGGCATTCCTAAACTGCAGCATCGGCGTCATGAGCTTAGAAAAAAAACCTGACTTTGAGCATCGTGCTGCCCTGTCCAGCGCGCCCTCGTGGCCATGCTCGCTCCGATGGCCCCTAATCGGCGGCGAGCCCCGGGGGGAAGTGAGAAGGGGCAGGCCTTCTCAGAAGTCTCGGAATTCCCTCAGCCTTGTGAGAAGTTTTCGAAGCCTTCCCCGAAAAAACGACAAACTTCTCAGAAGGCGCGGGGGCTTCTGAGAAGTCCCGCCGCCTTCTTAAAGGCCTTCTCCTTCTCACTTCCCCCCTTTGCTCGCCGCCGAAATTGGACTCCAGGACGGCCACCCTTGCCCCCAAACGGACAAGGTGGTCTCCACCCCGGCCCCACGCATCCTTAATGGCCCCATGAACGCCCGACAGAGCAACGAAAAGCCTTCCAGGACGACGCCTGCGAAAATCGAAAATTGCCCAAACTAATGGTTTTGCGAATTTTCCATGTTACCGCCCCGTGGGTCTTCGTAGCGTCCACAACGACCCAAGCGGTCCCCGAACAGTTCCAGAACGGCCCAGGAGGCCACCGCGATGCCCTCAAGAGGGCCCACAGAAGGCCCCAGCATATCCCCAAAAAACGCCCCCAAGAGGCCCCGCAAAGGCTCCCAATAAGCCCCACTTGTCCCCCAATACTTCCAAGAAGCCCAAAAGAAGCTCGGCGAAGCCCTCCAAGAAACCTCAGCGAGCCCCAAGATACCGCCACGAGGCCTTACGAGGCTCCGCGACGCCTCCGAGAAGCCCCGAAGAAGCCCCAAGAAGCCCCCGAAAGCCTCCCAAAAGGTCCCGACGACGCCGTCGAGAGGCCCTCGAGAGGCCCCGCGAGGGAGGGCATTAGCACACGCTGCAAGCCGCGTGGACAAGGGCTGCTGTTCATCTTCATGTCCGTTCCTCGCCCATCTTCGCCACACGGGCTGGGCTGCTTTCAATGTTTACCCCCCCCTTGCGGCCGCGCGCTCCGAAGCAGCCGCGGAGGAGCCCTGAGACAGCCCGCGGAGAGCCCCAGCGCGAGAGCACGGCGTCCAAGAGTGGCCGGAGACGGCCCGTCGAGGCGCCGGATGCGGTCTCCAAAAGCGGCCGACGGGCCTGGCGCACCCGAAGGAGACGCGGCACTCCCCGAGAGGCATCGACAGACGCCCGTGCCATTCTTTGCCAGGCAGCGACCTGCGCAGTGCAAGCAGGACGCCACGGAAGGTTCGTGTCGTGCCGGCTTCGGCGTTGTTTTCTGACACCGCGAAGATCGTTCAACCTTGAACGATCGGCCGTTTCCGAAGCGTCATACCGTTTAACATCGACCGACTCTGGGTCGCCTGCGGCGAGATCGCCGCCCGTCGACACGACGCGAACCTACCGTAAGGCGGGCAAGGCGGAAGAGTGGGGAGAATGCGAGGCGGCATGCGGTGGAAGAGAGGAGAGAGGAAACCTGGGAGCGCTCATCTGCCCCCCCCTTTGACTTCTGTCCCACATGCTTCCAGAGTGAACCTCAAATAATGAATTGCAGAGCGCGTGCTGCAATCTATGTGGTGTCAGATGTGCGGCGATGTGTGTGTGTGTGTGTGTGTGTGCGTACGTGCGTGCGTGCGTGTGTGTGCGTGTGATCCGATGCGTGCGGCGCGGCCAGTGCGTCGCATAACCCGCCGCGCGCGCCTTGCAGCGCGGCAGCCCCGCCGGGCCGCTCTCGCGGGCGCGGTGATCAGCGGATATGTGTGCGCGGCGGCGCCAGTGCGCAGAAGAGGGCTCCAGCCCTGGCCGCGACTCTTTTGCGGCGTCGTTGAACCTTTTTTGCGCGACCCCCCTCGACGCTGGCGCCACACCGCGACGCCGACCCGCGGGGGCCCGAGGGGCCTCGGCCGCGGCCGGGCAGAGAGCACGCGCCGCCCGCCGAGCCCCCGCGACGGTCACGGGGGGGGGGGGGGCGCGAGCGAACGAGCGAGCGAGCGATCGGGCCCATGCTGCAGGCCCGCGGTTCCGCTGTGCGGGCCACTGCGCATGACACTTGCACACATGAGAAGGAGCGCTGCCAGCTGCTCTTCGACCTTCGCCGGTGCTGCCGTATTCGGCTTGACCTGAGGAACGATAAGTAAGGAACGAAGCCCCTTTTTCTCCAAGTGAGTCTAGGAAGTCCGAAGGTACACCAGGGTGCTCGCCGGAAGAAAGGATGCGGAACGCAACGCATGCAAAGACAAGGAACGACCGAGCCCCTTCTGAAAAATAGGTGCTCCTTACTCCGGCCGGACCCTGCAGGGCCGCTCTGCGCGGGCCAAGGACCGCACGGATGCTCCCCGGCGTCCTGTGGGGATTGCGTCCTGGGAGGACTGCGCGCCGCGGCCCGCTACGACTCGCGCTCGGGAGTGCGGGCCCTGGCGTCGGAGTCAACGAGGAGCGACCTTCGGCTGACAGCGACGCCCAAAGGGCCCGTCGCGCGGGCGTGCGGCCAGAGGAGCGGCGGCCTCCCACAAAGCCCTGCCGAGTGCCGCGGGCTCTGCCCTGCCCCAAGCCTGGCGAGGAGGGAGCACGATGGCGGGTGTCATCGGCTTCGCCTCGTCATGCCCGAGCGAGCACGGAATCGCCTCGGGGGCGTCTCCGAGGCCATCGCGGGCGTCGCCTCCGCCCTCGCCACGTCGGCGGGCAGACGAAGACGGAGCTGCCAAGGGAGGGGAGGGGAGGGGGAGGGGGGCAGGGGCCCCGATGCACGGGCGGAGGCGGAGGGGACTGACAGGAGACCTTCGATGGCGGAGGAGGAGGAGGAGGCGAAGGAGGCGGAGGAGGAGGAGGAGGAGGAGGAGGAGGATGGAGGGGAGGAGGAGGGTAGACAGGAGGAGGAGGAGGAGGAGGAGGAGGAGGAGGAGGAGGAGGAAGGACAGGAGGAGGAGGAGGAGGAGGAAGGAGGAGGAGGAGGAGGAGGAGGAGGGGGAGGCGGAGGAGGAGGAGGAGGAGGAGGAGGAGGCGGAGGAGGCGGAGGAGGAGGAGGGGAGGCGTCGGGCACGGCGAGGCGGAACCCGGCAACACGTCAAGAGCCACGGGCAGACTGCCGCCCGCGGCGGAGCGCGCGCGCGTTATGGCCCCCCTCGATGCGGCGCGAGGGGGGCAGCATCTCGAGACGTGTTACGGAGCCGCCCGCTCCAGAAACTCACGGGCCCGATCGGAGGGCGCGGCCTTCTCGGAGAAGTTCCCAGGGGACCGCAGATTCACACTCGATTACGTTGAATGGTGGGCTTGTTTTCCACCGCCACCACAAGAAGTAGGAGGGGAACAGGGTGCTCCTCCTCCTCCTCCTCCTCCTCTTCCTCCTCTTCTTCCTCCACCTCCTTCCCCCCTCCAACTCATGGTGGTGGTGGTGGTGGTGGTGGAAAACAGGCCCATCATTGAATGCGCCCCCCCGGCGCGATGCTCAGTCGGGTTCGATGGGTGCAGGCAGCCCGACCAGGCCTGCTGGGCAGCAAGCTCGCGTGTTCTACTCCATAGTCTGTCATGGGCGCTCCAGGCACCAAGCTCTCCCTTTCTCGTCTGCTCCCTGCGTTCCAACACGCTGAGCGCTGAGGGAAAGGGTCCATTATACAAGCGAGGCGCCTGGGCAGCCTGGGCCATCTGGCCGCAGGCGGGGGCTGAGCGCCGCCGTCCAAGCCGCGGGATGCCGACCGTGCAATCTAGGTGATGTAGCAAACCATGTGGTGCCAGATGTGTTCTGCAATCTACGTGATGCAAGCTATGTAGTGCAATAGACGTGGTACGATCTATGCTGTACAGTCGATGCAGTGCAATATATGTGTGATGCACTCTGGGTGGTGCGATCTATATGGTGCAACTGTGTTGGCACAATCTACGTGTAGCAATGCAACGCAATATGTGTGGTGCAATATATGTTGTGTGAAGCCAGTGTTGTGAAATCTACGATATCCAACCTATGTGGGGCAATAGATGTTGTGCAATATCTGTGGTGCAATAGGTGTGATACAATCTAGGTGGTGCAATATATGTGGTGCAATCTACCTGGAAACATGTATGTGAAGATAGATGTGTAGTGCAACAAATGTGGTACAACCTACATTGTACAATGGAAAGCAATATAAAGCAAGACGAAACAACGCAGCGCAGTGCCAAGCAATGCAAAGCAACGCAAAGCAATTTATGTGTTGCAATCTAGAGCGGCGACGGTGGCGACGGGGCGGCGACGGCGACACATAGCCGCCAGACCGACGCACAGGTCAGACGAAGGGCGGCGACGAGGCGGCGACGGGGCGGCGACGGCGACAACATAGCCGCCAGAGCGACGCACAGACCCAGACGAAGGGCGGCGACGATGCAGCGACGGGGCGGCGACGGCGACAATATAGCCACCAGACCGACGCACAGGCCAAGACGGAGGGCGGCGACGGGGCGGCGACGGCGACAACATATCCGCCAGACCGACGTACAGGCCCAGACGATGCGCGGCGACGAGGCAGCGACGGGGCGGCGATGGCAACAACATATCCACCAGATCGACGCACAGGCCAAGTTCCTTAGAAAACAAACGAGAACTCCAAAGTGCAAGCGCTGCATGGGGAAAAGGGATGTAGGAGGAGGAGGACGAAAAGAAGGGAGGAAAAGGAGGAGAGAGGATGAGGAGGAGGGAGGGAGGGAGGGGGCAGGAGGAGGGAGGAGGAGAAGGAGGGAGGGAGGAGAAGGAGAAGGAGGGAGGGAGCAGGAGAAAGGAGAAGGGCGGGGGGAGGAGGAAGGGAGGGCGGGAGGAGGAGGGGGGGAGGAGTCCGCCGCCCCGCCGCGCGCCACGGCAAAAAGGCGGGGGGGGGGGTCCCGCCTTGGCGCCGGCCACCGGGGCGAAGGTCCGCGCGTCCGCGACCGTCCCTCGCGGCCGCCGCGGGCACTGATGCTGCTGCTTCCTCCTTCTCTCCTCCTCCTTCTCTCCTCCTCCTCCTCCTCCTCCTCCTCCTCCTCCTCCTCCTCCTCATCTGTCCCCTCCTTCCCCCGCTCCTGCCCCCTCCTTCTGCTCCATTCTCCTCTTTTCCTCCTCTTCCTCCTCAGCCTCCACGCCCGCGGCTCAATCGGGAGGTGAGGCGGTGAGCGGCTCTGCAGCCGTGCCCCAGTGATGCATTGCTCCCATGCTTTCTTCTCTCTTCTTCTGCTGCCTTGTGCGGTCGAGCTGGCAGGCATGCTGCGAATTCTGTGCGATGACCTCACGGCAGACACGGTGGGATGAGATCGCAGGGGCGACTCACAAACTCGACAACGTACTGCCGGCGAGCACCTGGTGCGGCACCCGTCGCGGCGACGCGCGGGCCTTTGTGCGCCACGCGGAGGGGCCGCACTCTCGTCGAAACTCCGCATCTCCAGGCGCTGCTCTCTCTCATTCCGGCGGTGGCTGCGCAGGGGCCCTCGGGCCGCGCATCCAGGCGGCGGACATTCGTCAAGTTCGGGGCAGCCCTCGGGAAGCACGGGGAGGGGGTGCAGCAGCTCGTGTCACACGTGGGCCTCTCAACTGTTCGGTGTTGGGTATTTTGTGCGGAGTGCCTCCCTAGGCCTACAAGTTCCCAACAACAATCCGTACTTCGAAAGGGTCGTGCTATTAAAGGAACGGCCGGAGAAAAATTAGCTGGTGGATTTCCTACCCGTTGCCTTCCAGTAGCGCATGGAGATATTAACGACGGTATGGAGGAGGAGTGGAGGGACGGTCCAACATCAACAACTGAACTCAGCGAAGCTGGACGATCATTCATGAGAGGTCTGCCACCCCTTGTGGGTCCACTTAGCGTGCACCCGTACTTGGGGTGGTCTCCTCTCAAAACTTTCTTCCACAGACCCTGCTGATGTGGGGTCCTTGAATTCACACACTTAGACAGCAGGTTGGTCTTCTGTGTGGAGCCCGTACCCACCAGATACGCAAAGTGTATACATATATCAAGCGCGATAGAATTTGGAGGATCGTGGCAGAATGTGGAGGAAACGGCGGCGGGGGCCCCGACCCACGAGATGCCTCCAGATGTTTCAGAGAGGGGATTGTATGCTCCCTAGAAGCACAGAAGGATGCATTGAGTCGATCGAGGCGGCGACTTTCCGAGCGGGGACGGCACGCTTCGAGGGACGGCACGATGTCAGAAAGGGATGCAATGATGCGTGTCCTCGACGCTTCGAGCTTCGTCGTCGAGCACTGGCTCGGGGTAAAAAGTTGTCCGCGAACGAGGACAAGATCGCAACTACGGATGTGAAACTTAAGCGGCTGAAGGTCTGTCCGACAGGACAGACGCCGACACCTAAGTATGCAAAGAGACACCCTCTTGGCGAAAACCAATGAGTATTGGAACAAGCAACGAATGGCAGATGCGATGAAGGCAACTGGGCGAGCAGCCAGGTGCCGCTTTGGGACCAACAGGCGGGAGGATCGTCTGGCAGAAGGACGTTCGTTGCCAACCTCAGCGGCGTGGCTCTCGGTCTGGAAAAAAAACCGGGATGGAGGGAGGTATGTGGGTGAAGGAGTCTGGAGGACACAGCGGGAGGAGGAAGAGGAGTACGAGGATGACAACGACCCCGAGCTTGCAACGCTGGCCAGTGTCCAGTGATGATCTGCCCAGTGCCAGCAAGTGCCTGTGTCCTTTGGTCTGCAATGCTGCGCTCTGCAAACCGTAAATTTAAAGCAGACGTTCTGGTCTGCGAGCGTTAAGAACAGATCTGTCGAAATCAAGACAGCCGGAATGAAGGACAAGGAATGGAAGAGACGAGAAAGGCACATGCGATGAAAATATGTCGAAATCCAGACAGGTCTCCGCTGGAGTACCAGGCACGGTACACTAAGATCGGCAGACAAACAGGGGATGTCACACGATCCAGTGTGCCACAAGCGGACCCCTGCACCGAATCGTTGTCTAGGAGACAAAGCGAATCAGACCGTATGAACATCGTCGTGTGCATACATCGCCGAGGCCCGCGCTACCAAGAAAAGATGCCACGCGAGCACCCACGAGGTGGAGAAGAGGGAGGACACGAGGTGGCGGAAGCACAAAGGGCGGAGGCCCCAGGCTCGGCAGGAGAGGTGGCAGGGACAAAAAAGCACCAGACCCGAGCGGAGGAGGGAACACGTGCAATAGCTCCAGGCTCGGGAAGACGGACAGACCGGGGGCGGACGGTGATGGCCAGTGTAGGATACAGTGTGTCTCGCCGACTCTTTCTATTCTAACCCTGCCGATGCCTCTAGGGAGCGAGCACCTACGTGCCACGCCTAGGGGGAGTTCGCAGAGCTGCAGCGGATTCGAGCCCCTGGCATCCCAACGCCTCCTGAAGATGGAGGTGCCGCCAGGCAGCTTGCCGCACCCTGGCGACGAGAACAACTCGCGGGGGCGGCCACGAGACCAGGCTCGACGGGCGGAAGTGGATGCTGACAAGCCATCCCTGGCCGCAAAGTGGACCAGACCACGCGCCCAGCCCCGGTGAGGACAGTGCTGTAGAGACGGAGAAAGCGATGGCGATGAGGAAGACGATAAAGAAGACGGCGAAGACGAGGAGACGAGTGGGCCATCAACCAACACTATCGACAGCATCGGAAGCCCACCCGGCAGAGCAAAGCCCACTTGGCAGGAGCACTGCTTGGCGCGATGGGCGGCGGCTGCCCGCGGTACTCAAGCTGACCTGCCGCCTCGCCACCCGAAGAAAGCATCGGGACGGAGTGCATCCTCTCGCTCGTGCCGGGGGCGGTTGGCCATTCCAACGGCCAGGAGAGGGAGCCTGCGCACAACGGCCAAGCAGGCCCTCCTGAGGCCGAGCGAACTGGCAAGCTCGTCCAGAGTCATCATGTGTCGATCGGCCTTGAGGGGGTCTGCTCGCGATTGCTCCAGGGCCCCGCAGCCTTCAGGCTGGCCGCGACGTCGTGAAAAAAACCGCGGGCCGAGCGAGCTCTCGATCCCAATATCTGCGCACTGCTCTCCGAGCCGGATCGATCTGTCAAGGCCTTAAGGACTGCAACGGGGCAAGGACGCCATCCCTGACTCTCATATCTATTACAACGCCCCACAATCGCCCACGGCGACAATAACTTCGAAAACCGATCGAACAGGCAGCGAAACCGAAACCGACCGACATCGATAGACCGAGAGCAACCGAGAAGGACGCAATGAAGCAACAACCGACGGAGCCGAATCGACCTGATGAAGCTGATTGCTACCCAGCCGACCAAACTGAGTCGCGTACACTCTCGCGCATTGAGGGTGTCGGGAGGACGTGAGGCTCGAGCTATAGGATCTTGAACTTGTCTGACGGGACAACCAGAAAAATAGCGAAAATAGCAGGAACTTGTCTGGATGTGGACGCGAGCTGCCGTCACAAGCATCTCACGAACCCTGGAACTTCACAATTCACACCTGGGACCGTCGAAAAGCGGCGGCAACTCCGAATCCGGGCAAGGTCAGCGTTTTTTATTCGGCGTTTCGATATTGGGCGGAAGGGGGGGGAGGGGGGGGGGCCTGACTGCGGACCTCGGCGTAGTGCGACTGTTTGCGACCGTGCGTCTCGGGGGAGACTCGACCCGCTCGAAACAGGTGTAAAAAGAACAAGTTACTACGCCACGGGGGGAGGAGGAGGGGAGGAGGAGGAGGAGGAGGAGGAGGAGGAGGAGGATGGAGGAGGAGGAGGAAGGAGGAGGAGGAGAGGGGGAGGGAGGAGGAGGGGAGGGAGGAGGAGGAGGAGGAAGGAGGAAGGAGGAGGAGGAAGGAAGGAGGAGGTGGAGGAGGAGGAGAGGAAGAGGAGGAGGAGGGGGAACTCCGAATCTGGGCAAGCTCGAGCCGTTCGTTTCGCCGAGGAGAGTCTTCGGCACGTCCCTTCCCGAACGGCCTCCGACCGAGAACACCGGCTCGACGCAGGCGCGCGTGACCGCCTGGCTGAACCTGCCCGAGCTCTCGCAGTCGACCTGCGAAGGCAGAGAGCAGCACACGGTGACTTAGCTAGAAGAAGAAGAAGGAAAAAAATAAGAAGAAGAAACAACAACAACATAAACATAAACTGTTGGCGCTTCGCGCGGATTTCTTGGATCCGCGCCTGGGTCCCCCCGGCGGTGCCTCCAGCGCCGCCCCTGGCGCGCGGAGCGCGCCAGGGAGGGGGGTCCAGCGCGGATCCAAGAAATTCGCGCGGAGCGCCAAAAGTTTATGTTTATAGCGTTTCTTCTTCTTGTATTAGCTGCGCCGATACGCAACACGCAACACGTAACGAGCGATATGGCGCTGAGCACGTGGACCGACAACGTAGGTCCGACACGGTACGTTCGCCACAGCGTGGGCCAACACGTAACACGTGGAGCCAACAAGCAGCGTATCGGCATGAACGTTTCGAGCACGGCACGTGCTGCGCTTCAAAACGGGCGCATCGAGGTAGCTAAGCATGCCCCCGCACGCCCTCCCCCCCGGGGCCCCTCGGGCCTCTCGCCTCGTCCCCCTCGGCTTAGGTCGGGCATATCCTCTTACAGGCGGAGTTTGGAAGAAAAACAAAACATGGACAAACAATATTGAAAACAGTCACATAAGGTCAAAACATCGTCCCAGACTATTGTTTGGACTATTTCTGAATCTCCCTCCCGTAAAGGGACATGCCCGATTTATCCCTCGGCCTGGAGCCACGAGGGCCTCCTCCCCCCCCCGCCGCGCCCTGCTCCACGCTCCACGCTCCACGCTCCTCCTCCTCCTCCTCCTCCTCCTCCTCCTCCTCCTCCTCCTCCTCCTCCGCTGACCTCCGACGTCGCGTTTTTTTCACGTCGTCGACCCCCAGAGGTCTGGACCCCTTCCCCAGGACCGGCTTTCCATCCTGAGTTGTTATTCGACGGTCCCGAGGCCCGGCGAGGGCCCCGAAGGGCCGAAAACAACGAAAGACCTCCAGTCGTGATTTCTGCACAGCGCGAGGATGTCTGGGACCTCCTCCTCCTCCTCTTCCTCCTCCTGCTCCTCCTCCCCCTCCTCCTCCTCCTCCTCCCTCCTCCTCCTCCTCCTCCTCCTCCTCCTCCTCCTCCTCCCCTCCCCTCCCCCTCCCCCTCCTCCTCCTCCCCTCCTCCTCCTCCTCCTCCTCCTCCTCCTCCTCCTCCTCCTCCTCCTCCTCCTCCTCCTCCTCCTCCTCCTCCTCCTCCTCCTCCTCCTCCTCCCCCAGCCTCTCCTCTGCTCCTCCGCCTCCCCTCCTCCTCCTCCTCCTCCTCCTCCTCCTCCTCCTCCTCCTCCTCCTCCTCAACCCTCCTCCCTCCTCCCCCCCCCCCTCCTCCTCCTCCTCCTCCTCCTCCTCCCCTCCTCCTCCTCCTCCTCCCCTCCTCCTCCTCCTCCTCCTCCTCCTCCTCCTCCTCCTCCTCCTCCTCCTCCTCCTCCACTCCTATCTTATTCCTCCTCCTCCTCCTCCTCCTCCTCCTCCTCCTCCTCCTCCTCTCCTCCTCCTCCTCCTCCTCCTCCTCCTCCCCTCCTCCTCCTCCTCCTTCCTCCTCCTCCTCCTCCTGGAACCGCGGGGGGGCCGCCTCGGGCTCCCCTCGTCATGGAACCCCGCAGGCCTGCCTTCCCTCCCGCCCCCCGCCCACACCCAGGAGGCCACACGCGAGCCCTACCCGTAAAGTCGGGCCTGTCCCTCCGCAGGGGGGGACATTCCCCAACAGTCCAAACATGGTCTGGGGACGATTTTTGAAATAGCTTCTGTACTCTCTGAATGTATGTTGGGGTATGTTTCGTTTTTCGTCCAGAAGCCGTCTGTAGGGGGACACGCCCGACCTAACCCTACCTCACCACCCCACGATTTCTCGGGATGCAGGTGGGGTTCACTTCGGTCGGGACCTCTCAAGCGGAGTGAACCCCACCCCTCCCCTTAGGAAGCGTGGGGTGGTGGGACAGGACTCGCATGTGGCCTCCTAACACCCCTCCTCTGGCCATCGCTCGGACGTCGATGCCCCGTGGATTTTTGTCGGTTTCGTGCGCGCTGCTTGTCCGCACGAGGACCCCAAGATGGTCCTCGATGGTCCTCGCCGGGGAAAAGTGCACACGTCCGAGCTGTGCCGAGCTCCTCCACACTCGGGCGCGCGCCGAAGAGAGGGGGGGGGGGCAGGAAGAATGAACGGGGGTCAGCGCATCTCGTGGCCCGAGGCATGTGTGCGCGGACGTGGGAGGCCAAGGGACGTGTGGAAAAAGGTATTCCTCCTCCTCCTCCTCCTCCACCTCCTCCTCCTCCTCCTCCTACTCCTCCTCCCCCTTCTCCTCCTCCTCCTCCTCCTCCTCCTTCTCCTCCTCCTCCTCCTCCTCCTCTCTCTCTCATCCTCCTCCTCCTCTTCCTCCTCCTCCTCCTCCTCCTCCTCCTCCCTCCCCCCCCCTCCAGAGTAGAAGAATAACACGAATACGAATCATTAGTGATAACAGAGTTAGCCTGGCGAAAGACCCAACCATATGCAGCGGCGAGTGCTGCAAGACAGGTGGAAACCAGGGGGGGCAGCAAAAGGACTCAGGATTGCGTAAGGGGTTCCACAAGTTTGCCGTAACTAATTACATCAGGATGTAAACCGTTACGGCTGATCTATGAAACGTGTGTGAGGTATGACGAAATGGGCGCGGTCACGTATGCGATTCCTGCCACTGGAGCCTTCGATGGAGCTCCCTGTGGGGCCACGAAACGTGTGAGGGGTGTGCGGAGATGGGGGCGGTCACGCATGCGATTCCTGCAACGGGGGCCTTCGGTGGAGCTCCCGATGGGGCCACGAAACGTGTGAAAGGTGCGCCGAAATGGTGTGGACCAGGTCTGCCAACGCAGCCACTGGGGCCTTCGGTGAAGCTCCCGATGGGGCCACGAAGGGTGTGAGGGGTGTGTCGACATGTGCGGAGAGCAGAGGCAGGGATGAGAAAAAGGAGAATGAGGCGGAGGGAGGAGGGGGAGGAGGAATGATGGACGGGGGGCGATGCGTGTTCAAAAGAGGCCCTAACTCGACACAGGTTGGCTGGGGAAAGAACAATTATCAAAAAGGGGGGTCCACGAAGTCTGGGAATTCCACACGCCCCTCGCCCCTACCCCCGGGAGGAGGAATGAGGGACGGGGGGCAGACGTGTTCAAAAAAGGTTCTAACTCGACACAGGATGGCTGGGAAAAGAATGATAAAAAGAGGGGGTCCACAAAATCTGGGAGTTCCACACGCCCCTCGCCCCTACCCCCAGGAGGAGGAATGAATGAGGGACGGGGGGCGAAGCGTGTTCAAAAGAGGCCCTAACTCGACACAGGATGGCTGGGGAAAGAAAGAAAGATAAAAAGGGGGGTCCGCGAAATCTGTGAGTTCCACACGCCCCTCGCCCCTACGCCCCATCGACGCCCGGTGGGGCGGGGGTGAAAGGACGGCCGCGCGGCGCAGCAGCCCGAGGCGAGAAAACCTCCGAGGCCCAACGGAAACTCCCCCCCCACCCGACGACGAAAACGTTCCCAAACCCTCCCCTCCTCCTCCTCCCCCCTCCTCCTCCTCCTCCCCCCTCCTCCTCCTCCTCCCTCCTCCTCCCTCCTCCTCCTCCCTCCTCCTCCTCCTTCTCCTCCTCCTCCTCCTCCTCCTCCTCCTCCTCCTCCTCCTTTCGATGCCCCCGGCTCCGCGCCCTTCGCCGCGCTCTCCCTTTTGACAACCCTTGGGCGGCCGAGAAGGAGGTCCGCCCGCGGAGTGTCCCGTCGACGGTCTTGTCTGGCGGCGGGCCCCGGCGAAGCGGCCGGCGCGGGGCGAGGAAGAGAGAGGGAGAGAGGAAGGGACGAGGAGGCGAAGGAATAAAAATGGAAAGGAAAAAAAGAGGAGGAGGAGGAGGAGGAGGAGGAGGAGGAGGAATAATGGAGGAGGGGAGGAGCAGGAGAAGGAGGATGCGGAAAAAGGGGAAGAGAAAATATGAGGTGGAGGAGGAGGAGGAGGATGATGAGGAGGAGGAGGAGGAGAAGGAGGAACAGGAGGACCAGTGCAAATCCAAGATTCATCAACGATGTTGAAGTACACACTCCCTCCAAGATCGCTCTTCACAGGCCACTGCACGGGGTCATTTCCACTGAGGGAATTGCCCTGCTGGGGGACAACGGTGCGAACATCTTGAGGCATTCCAAACCAGCACTTTCAGGACGTCAACGCCAGGAGTTAGTATGACTCTTACGTCTGTCCTGAATCGCACCAGAACGCCATTCCTGGGACTTCAACACCGCGAATCAACGTAATTGTTGCGCCCTGATAATCTTGAACCGCTCCAGAACGCCCTCTCTAATACGTTAACTATGAGTCCGTGAAGCTCTTGCAAATGTTTGCAACGAGTGTGCGCGGCGCTAAGGCGAGAGCCACATCTTGAAAAGGAACCGTCGCCAACCCGTGAAACTCTTGCGAGTGTTTACAACGAATGTGTGCGGCGCTAATGCGAGAGCCATATTTTGAAACGACCCGCCCTCAATTCATGAAGCCTTTCCAACGTTAAAGCGAATGTACGCGGCGCTAAAGCGAGAACCACAATAAGAAAACAATCCGGCCTCAATCCGTGAAACGTTTGCAATTGTTTCTGCATGAGCGCGGCGCCTAGGCGAGAGCAGCATTTTGAAAACGAGCCGCCTTCAACCCGAGAAACTTCAAATGTTTGAAACGAATATGCACGGCACGCTAAGGCGAGAACCGCATGTTGAAAACGACCCGCCCTCGATCCGCGAAGCTTCTCAGATTTTTCAACGAATGTGCACGGCGCTAAAGAGAGAGCCACATGTTGAACACCACCCGCCCTCAATCCGTGAAACTCCTGCAGCTTGTTAAGAACAAATGTGCGCGGCGCTGCAGCGATAGTCACATTTTGAAATTCGACCCGCCCTGCATCTGTGAAACTGTTGCCGATCTTTCTAACCAGGGCCATTACTTGTGAGGAGGTATCAGGCGAAACGCCAGGGCCGCCCTTTCGACCAGCCTCGGGGTGCGACAGGGAGGAGCTATATGTTAGAAGAAAGAATGGGGGAGGAGAAGAAGGCACGGGAAGGAAAAGGGAAGAGGAGGAGGAGGAGGAGGAGGGAAAATGAAGAGGGAGGAGGGCAACGGAGGCGAAGGAGGGAGGCAAATGTTTTGCTGTATGCGACTGCACAGGCAAGCTTCCGTAGAGATTGGCAGGCAGGCTGGAAAACAAGGCGACAGATCCACCCACAAGCGTTGCTGCTGCGAGCGGCGCCGCGAGTGCCAGTCCCACGATCAACGTGACGAGTCGCGCTGTAAAGCAGAAGCTACAAGCATAAAGTGACATAAAACGCACCGCAGTAGTCCCCTGCGGCGCGCAGCCGCGAAGCCACGCGGACGGCAGGGGAAAATAGCCACGGCTTCAGGCAGAGCTCGGAAATTACAAGCTCACCGTCCGCAAAACAGCGGAAGCCGTCGAAATCGAAATGCGCCGAATTCGTCGTAACCTCATTCGCCTCGACCCCAGGAGACAGCCCCAAAAACAGGTGCAGGCGATCGCAACCTGAGGCGCCTCAACCGAATGAGGCTCCTCCGCAACACGATCCTCATCCCTGCAAACTGACTGGCTGAGGGTCGGCACGGCAGCGAGAAATGCCTCGCCACTCCTTAAAGTACCGTCGTGGCGAGCCTCGGCAACTGGAGGCTCAACCAAACATCCAACACTATCAAGGCGACCCTCCAAAGGAGGCTCAGCCGTGCGAACATGATGTGTATGATTCCCAAGCAACTGGAATGCTCCTATATCTGCAACGCCGACGCTGTGATGAACCTACCCACCCTCGGTAGATAATGAGAGGGGTGCCTCAACCGAAGGAGGCAAGCCCTGAAACACTTCCACCACGGGTGTGTCATGGCAGGTCAAGGTCACAACTGTAGTACCATCCTCGAGAGCCTGAGACGATTCAAAAGGGCGAGCCTTATCCGAGGGAGGCTCAGCCCCCAGAGGAAAAGGTGGGCACGCTGAGCGAGCCTCTCCACAAGGCTCAACCAAAACCGCATGATCCACCAACACTTCATTATCTTGGCTTCCGCCAGATGTGGTCTCAGCCACGCCATCTGGAGAAATTGCCAAGGAAAGGCCTTTGTTGTTCTTTTTGGCCCGTCGCCTACGCCGCGAGCGATCTCCGATGAAGTACTCCTGCACCGTCATCTCCTCCGCCTCGGCGGCGTGCGCACCAGCCTGGCAGGCGTCGGCGGGGGCGGCACGTTCGCCATCCGCGGCCTTGCCTTCGGAAGTGGCGGAGGCGGCGTCGGCGGGCCACACCCAGGGCCGACACTGCAGCAGGAGGGGGCTGAGGCCACTCCTTCAGCCCCATCTTGGCTACCTCCGACCTGGCGTCCTTCTTCTTCTTCTTGTTCTTCTTCTTCTTCTTGCGTTTCCGGGGTCGTTTTTCCACCTTGGCCTTGGACTTCGCCGGAGGAGCAGGCGGCGGCGCAAGTACTACCCGCACCGGAGCAGCAGGCGGCGCAAGGAGGGAGGCAAAGGAGGGAGGCGGAGGAGGGAGACGGAGGAAGAAAAGAGAGGGATGATGATGGCGGGAAGAAGGAAGGGAGGAGTAGGATGAGGAGGCCCAGGGTGATCTCAAGATGCATTCACGATGCTACAATGCACCCTCCCGTTCCAAGGCCCCCCCCTCGTAAGTCAACCCAAGCCTTCATTTTCACTACAAGAAGTGCTCCTTTGGAAGACCAGCACCCGATGGGCCTGCCATGCAGGCGAGAGCACCGTTTTGAAAAAGGGCTCGCCATGCATTCGGCTGGGGAAAAGCAGGGAACGCGAAAAGGTACGATCATACAGTATTCGAGTATATGTCCAACGGTATCCCCGTTTCGAAAAAAAAGACCGCCCTCATCTGACTAACTGCTGTACGAGTGTATGCGTCTGGGTGTGGACTTCGAGAAGGTCTCAAGCGAGAAGCCCATTTTGAAAACGAACTGCCCTCCAGCCGTGCAACTGTCACATGTGTTGAGCACTGTTGTGTGTTAAATTTCACAATTTCTCATGCGAAAACTGCTTTAACAAATAAGAAACAAACAACAACAAAACAACAAAACACACCCTACATCCGTGCAGCTGCTGCACGGGTCTATAAAACGAATGCGCGCGGCGCTGAGGCGAGGGCCCCGTTCTGAAAAGGAACCGCCATCCCTACGCCAACACGCTGCAAATGTTTGCAACGAATGCCTGCAGCCCTAAGGCGAGAGCCCAATTTTGAAAGGAACAACCCTCCATCCTTGAAGCTGTTACAAGCTTTGAGACGAATGTGTGCGGCGCGAAATCGAGAGGTGCGTTTTGAAAACGACCTGTGCTCCATCCTTGAAGCTTTTGCAGTTTTTTTGAAATCAGCGCGGCGCTTAAGCGAGATCTCATTTTAAACGCCACTGGCGCTCCATCCTTGAAGTCAATGCAAGTTTTGGAACGACTGCGCTTCTAAGGGGCTGCAGAAAGGGAGCAGGGAGGAGGGATTATGCAAAATCGATATATACATGTATGGGCGCCTGGTGACTATCATGTGGATTGGCAACGCATTGGCCGCTCCATCATCATAAGCGCACTGGCGCAGCTTCCCAAATCTGATTCAATGAAGGCGGCAAGTCGCCACGCCGCAACACGATCAACGCAAGTCCATCAACAACCAAATGACCCAATGAGACGCATTTGTTGCAACTGAGGAAGCAAATCTCAGATGAGAACAGCCCAATGACCAGTCACAGAAAACTGGCGACCAAACGCATACAAAAAGAAACGTCAGTATTGCAATGTACCGAACACGATACAGATCATCGTGTCGAGCCGTCTGGGACTATACGTCGGCAGACGTGAACCTTCAATCCTTGCTGGTTCCTCGAAACCTGATCGCGTATACTTGCGAATCAACCTGGCGAGGCGGTTCTCGTGTCTGCTTACCTTTTCAAAGATAGACCCAGTCAGGCCAATGACCGACTAACTATATAGATTTCTGCGGGACGAGGAGTCGGAGGGAATTGATTCCAAACGCCAGGAATGATGGTGATGACCAGGAACAAGAACACGAGGAGCGACAGCGGAGAAGGACAGTCGAGAAGCGGGATATCATCAAACAACAGCCCTCCACGACCTGTAGGATCACCCTTCGGGTGATGAGGAGGTTGGCGAGGGGGGGATGGGTGAAGCTTCCGGTTTGTGATTGGCGTCGGGTCAGGCTCGCGACCTGTCCATCTGATTGCCAGCTGAAATGCTCTAAACCCTGAGGGCAAGAGAGTCCAAAATCGAATTGATAAGTCAGATCGGCGATCGAAATGAATCGGATCGGCGGAGATCGGCAACCGAGTCCTCAAACATCGATTCGGTAGACATCGGCAGGCTAGTAGGCCTCCACTGAGAAACCAAATCCTAGATCAGAATCCAAAGCCGAATCGAGTTGGAACAGGAATCCATCGAGATCACATCGAATCGAATCGGAGGAGTCGAAATGAGCCCTGTGAGGGGCCAGCGGGGCGGCGGAGTGGCGCCTACTCGGGCACGTCCTCCTCCTCCTCCTTCTCCTCCGCCTCCTCCTGCTCCTCCTCCCCCTCCTCCTGCTCCTCCTCCTCTTTCACGCACGAAAGCCGACGTTGTTTGTTCAGAGTTCTGATGGGTGTAGGGTGGGTGGGAAGAAACTCGACTCTGAGCCAGAAGGCTGCAGAGTGAGCCAGAAGGCTGCAGAGGAAAAGGAGAAGAAAGAGGGCAAAAGGCACAGCCCTGCCCCGCGGGCAGGCACCGCGGTCCAGGAACGCAGCGAGCGCAAAACGATCGCCAGCCGAGACGCGCTCTCAACCCTCACAGGGCCACAGTGGAGGCCAGGCCACAAGAAACCTTCCACAAGAAACCCAACCCTGAGACCCCAGGACGTCCATTGATTCTTCGTGTGGGAACGTCACGCTTCCCATAGAAGACCCATCGAAACCCAAGAAACCCAGGGCACCCTGGAGGCAAGCAGGGTGTTTCTTGACGTGGGTCTCCACTGGAGGGGCCGAGAGAGCGGTGCCAACTTTTTCGCTGGGCACGTGGGAGTCCAACACGCAGCGCCGCCATATCACCGCACCAATTGGTCCTCCCCCTAGGGATCTCCGCCAAAGAGGATACGCACCACGCACGCACAACTGCATATGGTAACTGAAGGATGTGGGGGTTGTCCACTCTTGGAGCTTCCGACGCTTCAAGACGTCCCAAGAGGCCCCCAAGACCGCCCCAAGACGGCCCCAGAGGCCCCCTAGAAGGCTCCAAGACAGCCCAGGAGGGCCCCCAGGGCCCCGAGAGGCGCCCCAGAAGAGGAACACACACGGACCAGAAATGCGAGCCTTCTGCCCCAAGAGGCGCCCACGAGCCCCCAAGAGGCCCCAAAGAAGCCCCTCAAAGGCCCCCAAGAGACCCCAAGACTTGCCATCGTGCGGACGTACATTCCCCGTGAATGTGCTCTGCTTCGTGCGTCTATGTTTTCGCAAGATGACCCAACATGCTACTCGATGGTCATTGCCGAGAAGAGATGCACACGTCCGAGCGATGCGAAGAGGAGGCCCCCAAGAAGCTCAAAAGAGTCCCCAACAGGCCCCAAACCAGCGCCCCGGAGGCTTCAAACCTGCCTCCAGGAGGTCACCGAGAGGCCTCGACGAGATCCGAACGAACATCTACGAGATCTCAAGCCTACGACCCAAGCACGGGACACTCGCGGGCAAACCACGGGACAACCACGGGACAACAACGGAACAACCGCTGAACGACTGTGCGACGACCATGGGACAACGACGGAACATCCACGGGACAAGCACGGGACAACCACAAAATAACCAAACAATAACCGCGCGACAACCGCGGGACAACCACGGGACAACCGCGGGACAACCATGGGACAACCGCGGGACAACTACGGGGCAACCGTGGGTCGACCACGGGACAACCACGGGACAACCGCGAGACAACCACGGGACAACCACGGGACATCTGTCGAAGTCTCTACCTATCAACATCACTACAGTCAACACGTGCAATCAGGACGCACGAGAAGGATGCAAGGGCCTTGGAAGGCCATGTCGACACTTTGCGAGCGGGGCGCGGCCAGCGAAAGCGGCCAAGGATGGGGCGAAGGGGAAGGATGAATGTATAACCTTGGAAAGTTGCTCATCATTACTATGCGGGTTGACTGTATCAATGGATATGTCGGTCTTACGATCGGTCTCATGATCCTTACGATCGGTCTCATGATCCATCGATCTCACTATCAAATAATCGATCTGTCTCAGTCTGTCGGTGCGATTACCGCTCTACCTATCTTTGGACGAGGCGACCACGGGACAACAACAAGACAACAACGGGACAACCATTGGACAACCATGGGACAACCACGAGACAACCACGGAGACAACCACGGGACAACCGCGGGACAACTACGGGACAACCGCGGGACAACGACGGGACAGCCTTGGGGCAACCCCAGGACGACCACAAAACAAACACGGGACAGTAACGGGGCAACGAAAAAGCAATCGCTGAGCCAGCGCGCCACGACCACGGGACAACCATGGAACCATCACGGGGAGACCACGGGACAACCTCGGGGCAACCGCCGGGAAACCGCGGGACGACCACGGGACAACCAAAGGACGACCGCGCGAAAAGCACGGGACAACCACAGGACATCTAGCTGGGTCTCTATCGAAATCACCAGCGTCTGTCGATCTCACGACTATCGGTCTCACGATCCATTGATCTCACGATCGGTCTATAGATCAGTCTCACTACATGTGACTGCGCACCGTTTGTTCTCGACGCACCCAGGTGGACGACGCCAACACCACGGCACACCGACGGCAAAAGAGCCCCGCGCCACAAGTAGACGAAGCCGGCACTGCGGCAAACCCCGCGGCAAGCCTCGCGTCCGAGGATGATTTCGACCTGGTGGCCGAGGCGCCCTCCCCAAGACGTAGGGCCGCGCGACCAGGCCACCTTCACAAAACCGTCGGGGCACCATCGGAGCTAAACAAAAACTTCAAGATAAAATGCCAATCGGGGCAACATCTCAATGCGTTTCCAGCACCAATCGCAATGCCATCAGAAACCCTCGAAGGGCAAACGACACGCAATTAAAACAACACCTCGGGGCACCGGTCGGAAAACTATCAGACCAGTGAAAACATGATCAGGACGCCCTTAGGGCATCATTGACAAGGACACCACTGTAGAACCATCGGAGCGGCTTCGGGACACAATCACTCATCCGCCCGGGCCCCTCTGGGACACCATCGAGAACAAACGAGGACACCGTCGGGACACCATTGCCTTCGCACCCAGCCCCCAGCTTGCACAGGCGACGCAGCGGGTGCCGGCCACTGCGAGGCCTGGTGAGCGCCGGGAGTGGTGTGCGAAGGTAGGGTGGCGAACCTCGGAGCCCTCTTAGCCTCACTGGGGCCCAGGCCCTGAGAGTAGAAGAAGAAAAACACATAGACATAAACTTTCGGCGCTCCGCGCGGATTCGCGCTGGACCCCCCTCCCTGGCGCGCGGAGCGCGCCAGGGGCGGCGCCGGAGGCGCCGCCGGGAGGGGCCCAGCGCGGATCCAAGAAACCCGCGCGGAGCGCCAAAAGTTTATGTTTATGTGCTTTTCGTCTTCTTCTTCTTCTTCTTCTTCCTCTTCTTCTTCTTCTTCTTCTTCGAGAGAGAGAGAGAGGCCACTCCCGGCGCGCAGGGACGAGCGAGGCCGCCTTCGTCGCAGGTGTAGGTCACCCTCTCCCCGAACGCGTAGGTGCGGTCCTCGTAGCTGGCACCGGCCACCCTCGGAGGCTGGCCGCACCGCACCGGGACGCACGCCTGCCGCTCTGGCGGCAGCTCCTCCGCGGGACCGAGGGCGGGAGTGGAGGAGGAGGAGGAGGAGGAGGAGGAGGAGGAGGAGGAGGAGGAGGAGGAGGAGGAGGAGTACGAGGAGGAGAGGAGGGGGAGGAGGAGGAGGAGGAGGAGGAGGAGGAGGAGGAGGAGGAGGAGGAGGAGAGGAGGAGGAGGAGGGGAGGAGGAGGAGGAGGCGGAGGAGGAGGAGGAGGAGGAGGAGGAGGAGGGAGAGGAGGAGGAGGGGGAGGAGGGGGAGGAGGAGGAGGAGGAGGAGGAGGAGGAGGAGGAGGAGGAGGAGGAGGAGGAGGAGGGAGAGGAGGGAGAGGAGGAGGAGGAGGAGCAGGAGGAGGAGGAGGAGAAGGAGGAGGAGGTGGAGGAGGAGGAGGAGGAGGGAGAGGAGGGGTGGTCACTGCATAAGGTAAACAAGTCCCGAGCAGAGCAACACGCACCACGACCACGACGACGCCGACGACAACGACGACGACGACGACGACGACGACGACGACGACGGAGACGAGGCGCGCAGACGATCCGCAACGAAGCACGGATGTGGGAAAGGGCCCACCCTGCAGGTTCCTCGGGAGTGAGGAGAAGGACGAGGCAGTGGGAGGAGAAAGAGGTGGAGGACGGCGACGGGGATCAGATCTTAAGGGAAGGCAGCTGCAATGAGGACATGCGAGGACAGCACCAAACATCGGCCCTCGGGCGATCCCAGAGCTCGGCAGCTCGGGCATCTGAGAAGATCTGAGAAGCTGACTTGGATTCCGCCGCGGCAGCGTCCTCCAACTGCCCGTTCGCTATGCACTTCCTGCTGACCGTCGTCTTGTCTGGATCGCTGGCGTCGAAGGAGAAGCCGTGGACGCAACGGTAGACCTCCCATGCCCACTCAGTTGTTGTTCAGACATCCGCAAAATACGTGATTACTGTCGTGTGACGCTCCTCCGCCTCACCTTGCCGCCTCCTTCCTCCTGGAGACTACTCATGCCCAATCAGCCGTACTCAGACTTACCCATACGCAGACTCACTCACATCCAGACCCACGCATACCCAGCCGCTCATACATCAGAGCAAGTCCCTCTCAGAAGGACCCCCTATCAAGACTCACTCATATCCACACTGAACTACTCGTACTCATGTTCAGTTATACTCTGACTGATTCAATACTCAGATCACCACGACGTAACAGGCACCGCGCTCGGGCCTCTCAATGTGTGCCAAGCTAGTTAAGCGGATAAACAAAGGAGTGGTAATCGAAAGCGAGCTGGCCACGAAATACATCCACAGTAGGCACCCAAGATAGATGCTATAGACTATGATCATAGATTCCATATATACATGTATGCAATCGCAAGGGCATATGAAGCAGAAGTCGGCACGATGTCCGGTCTGCAGATGCCAGAAGCCAGACATGAGCAAAACAATCACACACGAGCGCATTGAAGAATTCTCGAACTGTGCTTGCACTTCGGGCGTCTTACTTGCTCTGAAGACTCGGATGAATTATCCGATGATTCGCCACGTTCCGGCTTGTTGCCGCCCTGTTGCCGCCCGTGGAGCTTCTCAGGGATTCGCCACGCCCTGGCCCGTTGCCGCATGGTGCCGCCTGTGGGGGTGTCCCGGAGCTCCACCTCGTTCCAGGCCACATTGCCACCCGCTGCGACCCGCTGCCATCTGTGGAACGTCCGAAGGATTCGCCACGCTCTGGCCCTCTGCGGCCCGTTGCCGCTTGCGGGGCTGTCCCGAGGATTCGCCATCCTCCAGCCCGTTGCCGCCCGCTGCCGGCCGTTGCCGCCTGTAGGGGTGTCCCGAGGATGCGTACTTGCTCTTCGAAAAACGACCGCAGCGACGATTGGAAGCATCTCACTGCTCGGTGCTGGCGATCCAGCGGTTGGTAAATTGGGAGTGCGAACAGGATGAGTAGGAGTAATAATAGGAGGAGTATGAGGGAGTAGCACGTTTCCTCTGGGCCGTACTTCGGCACTTATCCGCAAGGACGCGGAAGGAGGAGGAGTAGGAAGAATAGCGGTAGGAGGAAGATGAAGAGGAGGAGGCGTGTTTCCTAGAGGAGGCGTGTTTCTTATGGGTCGTGCCTCTGCACGTATCCACTGGGAAGCGGAGGAAGGAGGAGAAGGAGAAGGAGGGATCAGGAGAAGGAGGAATCAGGAGGAGGATAAGAAGAAGTGGGTTTCAAACAATGAATTCTCGCGCTCTGGTGGTGGAAGCTACGTGGCTTCAATTATGTGGTGGAGGCTACGTGGTGGAAACTACGCCGCTTGAGCTATGTGGTGGAAAAATGTCGTGGAAGCTACGTGGAGAAAACTATATGACAACGCTTCGCGTCCAGAAATACTGACGCAAAGCTAGTTCCCGCTAAATGGGACCCAACTTTTCGACGCTTTGCCACGAATCCGGCAAAGCTCCGCCACGTTCCAGGCGCAACCAATACCTGTGGTGCAACCTATAGCAGCACTTGCGTTTCGCCTTCAAGATAACACATCCAGAATGCAGAAACTTACAATTTGGGACGCTGGCGCAAGATTTGCTCCATAAACTCAATACCTCTGAACGGACAGGGCGCAAATAAACAATCACGGGATCGCCGGCACGCCACAAAACCATGGGGCTGCTTCGCAGTGCGCTCGCGGAGATATCGAGCAGCAGACAGCCGCAACGTGGCTTGGATTCTCAATGCGGCAAAATGTGTTGATGACCCAGCTGAGCTCACCAAAACTCTCCTCCGCCATATACCTGAATTAGTATTCCTCCTCCTCTTCCTCCTCCTCAGCATTATCACAAGCATCGTCATCGTCATCGTCATCGTCATCGTCACCACCATCACCATCATCATCATCACCATCATCATAATCATCATCATCATCATCACCGTCACCATCACCATCACCATCATCATCATCATCATCATCATCATCATCATCATCATCATCATCATCATCATCATCATCATGATCATCATCCTCATCCTCATCCTCATCCTCATCCTCATCCTCATTATCATTATCATCCTCCTCCTCATCATCATCATCATCAACATCATCATCATCACATGCATCATCATTAACATCACCACCACCATCATCATCACCAGCATCATCATCTTCATCATCTTCATCATCACATCGCATCGCCCGCCTCCTCCTCCTCCTCCTCCTCCACAACGACGAGGCCAGGACGAGGATCCAATCGGGGGAGCCTACATCGAGGAGCTCGGAGATCCAGCGGCTCTGGAGGATGGCCTCGCCCCCCCCCCCACCCCCCACCCACCCCCAAACGACGAGGCCAGGAAAAGGATCCAATCGGGGGAGCATACATCAAGGAGCTCAGAGATCCAGCGCCTCTGAAGGATGGCCTCGCCTCCCCACCCCCAAACGACAAGGCCAGGACGAGGATCCAATCGGGGGAGCATACATCGAGGAGCTTAGAGATCCAGCGACTCTGGAGGATGGTCTCGCCCCCCCAAACAACGAATCCAGGACGATGATAACATCGGGGGAGCATAGTGTAAATCGAGAATATATGAGATCCGGCAGCTCTGGAGGATGGCCTCGCACCCCCCCAAAAAAAACGACGCCAGGACGGGGATAACGTCGGGGGAGCACAAACCGAGAAGCTCGGAGGTCCAGCGTCTGGAGGATGCCTCGGGCGCCGCGGCCTTCCCAGAGCGCTCCGGAACGCTCTGAGAGCGTTCCGGAGCGGCCTTCGGCTACACGCCAGAGTGACCCTGGGCAAGAGTGACCTCTGGGTGCGCGGCTTCTTGGGGGGCCGCGGGGGGGCCAAACACGAGCGCGGAAGACGCCGCTGCCGCCCCGCGTTCGGCGATCGCGAGGCCCCAGCGAGCCCGCACCAGAGGCCCCTCCGGCGCAGGGCTGCTCTCTCATGAGCGCCATCGAGCCCCGGCGACGCCCGACGCCCCCCCCCCCCCGAAGCAGCCGCGTGCTCCAGGTAGTACGTGGCCCCGCGCTGGCAGACGGGCGCAGCGCCTCCGGCGCGCCGCGCGCTCCCGCCGCCCCGAAGGCCCCGGGGGCGGGCCGGAGAAGCCAGAGGGCACCGCCACCACCATCACGCGAGGCCCCACGGGGCTCTCCCCTGAGGTCCTGGCGCTGCAGATTCTGCTTCGAAGCGGGCGGTCTAGCTCGATCTCGGGCCCCGGGGCCCTCACGGATCGATCCGGCTCGAGCAAAAATGACGCAGACAGATGGGGTCCGGGGTCCGGGGGTGATTGTCTTGCGTTTTTTTGGCAACGTCGGATCTCAGGGCTAGCGTACGCCAAGAAATCCGGCGTGGGCTTTCTTGCGTGGCATCTGCGCTAGGCCCCCGGTGGGCCGTGGCGCAACGTGGAGGGCCGTGTGCGGGGTGGCGTCGCTTGCTCCTTGGTCGGAAGGGGGGCGGGGAGGAGCGGCCGGCGGGGAGGAGCGGCCGGCGGGGAGGAGTCCGCCGGCATCCGCCGGCCGGGGGCGGCAGAGGCGCGCGGGGTGCTCGGCTGGGGCCCTGCCCTCCGTGCCCTCTCTCCGGGGGGGGGGGGGTCCAAAACGTCGCGGGCGCAGCAGTGGGCCTGCCCACGATAGCCCGAGCTGCCCCCAAGGTGAAGGGATGATGAACCCAAAGCTTTCCGAAGGGAGCCCCTGTGGGGCCAAAGCCTCGGAAGCATGTATTGTCTTCTTGGTGACTTAATTTGCTCTTGTCCCCAAGACGGCCCAAAAAGACCCCAAGACGGCTGAAGAAAGCCGCAAGAGCCCCCCACGAAGGCCCAAGAGAGACCCAAGAGGGCCCACAGAAGGCCCGAGTACATTCACTTACTGTAATCGTCCCAACAACACTTCGGGAAACCATAATTCAACCAAGTGCTTTGCATCGATTATCGGCCACAAGCGCGTTGTGCTTCCTAAGGACAAGAGCCTTCAATGACTCGCCGTATGCGTCTTCGATCCGCCGCCCCTTTTCCACAGGGCTGCTGGGTTTGCAAAACCTGAAGTGCATCTTCGGTTTGACTGTACAACTCCCCGCACGGACCTTTCGGCCGATCCCGCCGATGCTACCCTTCATCGCCGAAATCGCCCAAACGGTTCAAGGACTCAGCGAATGCTGCCAAGATGGCGCAATGCCCAAGACTGTCTCGAGACGGCCCAAGGGGGACCCAGGTGGCGCCAAGATAGGCCGAGAGGGGCCCAAGACTGCCCACAAAGGGCTCCACGAGGCCCCAGACGCTCCAAGAGAAACCCGCGAGACGAGGATCCTCAGACGGCCAAGATTTTCCGACAGTTGTTCTGCGCAAGATGGTTCAGAGAGAGCCTCAAAGAGGGCCTCGGGACGCCCAATGGGTGCCGAACAGGGCCCCGAGAGGGCCCCAAGATAGACCTGAGACGGCCCCAGGATGGCCCAAGAGGGCCTCCAGAGAGGCCCAGGACGGCCCCAGACAGCCCCAAGACGGCCCAAGAAGGCCCCAAGACGGCAAGACGACTCCAAGATGCACCCAAGACGCTGAAGCGGCGGCCCCCAAGACAACCCAAGACGGCACAAGAGTGCCCCAAAAGGGCCCCGAGAGGGCCCCAAGAGACCTCCAAGACTGCCTCGAAAGAGGGCCCAAAGACTGCCCCAAGAGAGCTCCAAGACGGCCCAAGAAGGCCCCAAGATGCATCCAAGACGCTGAAGCGGCCCCCAAGACAGCCCGCGAGAACCCAAGACGGCACAAGAGTGCCCCGAAAGGGCAGAAGAAGGCCCCAAGAGACCTCCATGACTGCCCTGAAAGAGGGCCAAAGACTGCGCGAAGAGAGCTCCAAGACAGCCCGAGAGGGAGGACGCCAAGAACGTCGAAGAGGCCACAAAACCAGCACACGAAGCCCCAGCACGCCGCTTAGGAGGCCTCCAAGAACGCCTACTTTCCTGTCACATGGGGGACGGGAGTGACTCGCCAGAGGCCCTTCTCGTAATCTGAAAAAAGGCCCTGGGGTGTCCTGAGCGCTAGAAGCTCGGAGAGAAACGACCGCCCGCCCACACAATCACGCCGCAGTCAGCGCGCACGCAGCCGCGCCCCGCGCACGAACGCGAGGGCCCGAGCAGCCACGACACCCAAGCCCTGCAGGATATTACCAAAGAGCTGCTGCGAGCCCTGAGGGCGGGGAGCGGAGGAAGCAGGAGCGGAGGAAGCGGTTCCTGTTCCTCGTCCTCCTCCTTGTCATCCTCGTCCTCTTTCTCCTCCTCCTTCTCCTCCTCCTCCTCCTCCTCCTCCTCCTCCTCCTCCTCCTTGTCGTCGTCCTACTCCTCCTCCTCCTCATCCTCATCCTCCTCATCCTCCTCCCTCTCCCTTCTCCTCCTCCTCCTTCTCCTCCTCCTCCTCCTCTCGTCCTCTTCCTCCTCATCCTCCTTGTACGTCACGTTGCACCTGCCAGCCGCCAAGATGCAGCCAGCAGAAGACAAGACACGATGACTGCTTTCACCTATTTGCCGCTTCCCAGGCAGTGGCCCATCACTCACGCCATCCGCCAAACAGCAGCGGAAGGTAAGACACTGCCGCTGCTAGCCATGAAAGCCCGCCGCTGAAGGTGGCTTGCGAGACTGAGAGAACAGGTCACTGTAATGCCTTGAACGCGTCCCCATCGATGGCACCACCTCTTCCATAGCGGCATGCATAGACGAGAGTGGTGAACACTGACGACATGGAAGGAATGATGAAGTACACACTTGAGGAATTGCAGGGAGCTGGCACCCAGGAGAAGGACTTGCACCGAAGAAGGGAGGGTGGAGGAAGCAGCCGCCTCCAGGAGATGGAGGAGGGGGGCAGAAGGGCAAGGGGATTGGGGATGTCGTCCCCATCCCGGATGGGGACGACATCGAGGGAACGGGGAGCAGGGGAAGAGTGACGAGGAGGAGGAGGAGGAGGAGGAGGAGGAGGAGGAGGAGGAGGAGGAAAAGAGCAGCCGGCTCCTGGCGAGGGACGGCCGCTGCGCCGCCTGAGCGCCTGCGAGCACACGTGCGGGCGGCGAAGACGGCTACGACGCCGACGGCAACGCCGACGGCGGCGGCGGGCCGGCGCGCGCGCGCGAGGCCTTCCAGGACGGTCCCGGGCGAGGCGGCCCGCCAGTAGCCCCTGCTGCGGGCGCCAGGAGTGTACACCACCTTCATCCCCCCCCCTCCCCTCCTGCAGCCTCCTCTTTCTCTCCTCCCTCCTGGGGGAGGGAGGGGGTGAGGGAGGCGGTGGTGGTGTGTATATATGTTCGGGCCCCGTACCTGTGGTCCTGCACACTGCAGCCCCCGGGCCCCTCGGTGTCGACCTCCGCGAGCTCGTCGGCCAAGCCGAGGTGGTCGAGCGCCGCCTTTGCTGGGAGGGCGCCCACCAGCTGCACCGATCCTGGTCAATCCCATGCTGGGCCCAGCGTCGGTGTATACGCCCTTCGGAGAGACATGCACTTCCACCGATCCTGAGCCCAGGACCGGTCTGGCAAGGATGTGGGGTGTATATAGCTGGCGCCCTCTGATCCGCGGCTGGAGCAATTCTTTCTAGAACATCCAGAGTCTGCCAGGGGGTCTCTGTAGGCCAGGATGCGCAGTGCCCCGGGCCGATTCGACTTCACCACTGATTCCCCCCCCGGCCCCGCAAGCAACACGTCCTGCTGCTGGGCTCGTGTCGGCTACGCAACCGTGCACTCTAGGACCGCCCTGACACGTCGGGCATTCAACCGCAAGAGGCTCCCGAAAACGCGTCAACCAATCAAGAAAATCTCCTTATCCTCCTGCTCCTCCTGGTCCTCCTCCTCCGCCTCCTGCTCCTCCTCCTCCTCCTCCTCCTCCTCCTCCTCCTCCTCCTCCTCCTCTGGCTCCTCATTTCCCTCTCCTCCTCCTCCTCCTCCTCCTCCTCCTCCACCTCCTCCTCCTCCTCCTCCTCCGACGACGACGACGACGACGACGACGACGACAAGGACAAGGACAAGGACGAGGACGAGGACGACGACAACGACGAGAGCAAGCAGGGCGGGTCCCCAACAGCCTTGCAAGCGCGGATGTCGCTTACGCGGTGCTTTTGCGGGCAGAGGGAGGATCCGGGCGCCAGCTGGTACGCCATGTCCTGCACGGAGCTGTTCCCCATCTGCGGCACCTCCCGACATGGGCGCATGTCGGCCGGCGCGCTTTCGTCGCGACTGGGTTCGTGCAAGGATTTGTCGACCCTTCACTCTGCATCCTCCTCATTCTCATCATTATCATCTTCCCTCCCTCCTTCCCTCCCGCTTCGTCCTTCTTCCATCCCAATTCATTTTTCCTTCCTCCTCTCCTGATTGTTCCTATCTTTCTCCTGCTCTCTGGTCGTCCTGTGCTCTCCTCTATCTATTTTCCGGTTTCAATCGGGTGCGTCACGGCGACCCCCATCCAAACATATTGACATACATGCTCGGCTCTTCGTGCGGACCCCGACAACCGATTACCCACATACGCTACGTCCTCGACAAGGTGTAGGGTACGTAACATGTGGACACTCTAGCGCCGACACCCGTTCGCACAGCGCGGAGATGGATACTTTTACCACGGCACCGAGAAGAAAATGATCCAGGCGAAGAAATCGACCATACCCATGCAGCCACGAATATCGCGAGGCAGGTGAGAAGACGGAGGGGGCGAACAAAATTGCTTGGGCGTGGATGGGAATTGCAAGGGCGAGCAAGGGTGCCCAGAGAGCGCTCTCTCTCTCAGGTGCCCTCAAGGATGCACACCTGCCGCCCGCCTTCAAGGCATTACGAGGGCAGCTGCGGGAGCCACAGCGCAAGGGAGAGGCGGCTGGGTCTTGCGGGGCCAGGCCCGGCCTCGCATTCGACGAGCTTGCAGGGCTGCTCGCGCTCCAGCCTCGGGGGGGGGCACGCCACGCGTCCTCCTTCACTCCCTTCGCGAAGGGGGGGGGATAAAGAAGGGGGATGGAGGAGGAGGAGGAGCAGGAGGAGGAGGAGGAGGAGGAGGAGAAGGAGGAGCAGGAGGAGCAGGAGGAGGAGGAGGAGCAGGAGGAGGAGGAGGACCAGTGTAAACCCAAGCGTCATTAACGATGTTGGAATAAACCCTCCCTCCAAGCTCCCTCTTCGTAGGCCCCTACAAGAGTTCATTTCCACTGAGGGAACTGCCTCGTTGGAAGACAATCGCTTTAAAGACCCAGAAGCATGCCGAAACATTTCTCTCGGTATTCCGACGCCACGGATCAACGTGAGTGGTGCGTCTTGATGATCCTGAATCGTGCCAGAACGTCATTCCTGGAACTTCAACACCGCGAATCAACATAAGCATTGCACCCTCAGAACCCTGAATGCTTCTCAAACGCCACCTTTGGTACGTTGATCATGGGATTCCGTGAAAACCTTGCGAATGTTTAAAGCGAGTGTGCGCGGCACTAAGGCGAGCGAGAGCCACATTGTAAAAAGGAGCCGCCCTCAATCCGTGAAGCTCTTCCACATGTTGAAAACGAATGCGCGCGGCGCTAAAACGAGAGCCACACTTGAAAACGGGTGGCCCTCAATCCGTGAACTCTTGCAACTGTTTTAAACGAATGTGCGCAGCGCTAAGGCGAGAGCCACAGTTTGAAAACCACCTGCCTTCAATCCGTGAAACGCTTGCAATTTGTTGAACGAATGTGCGCGGCGCTAAGGCGAGAGCCACATGTTAAAAAGTACCCACCCTCCGTCTGTGAAGCTGTTGCCAAAGTTGAATTGGTGAGGAAGTCTCAGGCGAAACGCCTGGCCTGCCCTAAAAGCTGACCTCGGGGTGCGACAGGGCAAGATTATGCATTCTCTTGCACAATTGTGTTCTAGAGCTCGGACCTCTTGATTTTCGTGGTTCGTCGTCGTCCTCCTGGCTCTGGCTTCCCATCCTCGTCGTCGTCTCCCTGCCCCCCATCCCCTGGCCTCCGCGCCCCAAGCTGGACCTCTGGCTCCTGGTCCGAACCCCAGTCCTCCTGCCCTGGCCCTGAACCCAGCCTCCCTCTTTGGCTCTGGCGTCCCCTGGCCCTGGCCCCAGCCCCCCTCGCCCCGGACCCTTTATTTTCGTGGTTCGTCGTCGTCCCCCTGGCTCTGGCCTGCTTCCCCTGGGCCCCTCGCCCCTGTCCTCCTGCCCTGGCCCTGAACCCAGCCTCCCTCCTTGGCTCTGGCGCCCCCCACTCGCCCCAGACCCTTGATTTTCGTGGTTCGTCGTCGTTCCCCTGGCTCTGGCCTGCTTCCCCTGGCCCCCTCGCCCCCGTCCTCTTGCCCTGGCCCTGAACCCAGCCTCCCTCCTTGGCTCTGGCGCCCCCTGGCCCTGGCCCCAGCCCCCCTCGCCCCGGCCCTTATATTTTCGTGGTTCGTGGTTCGTCGTCGTCCCCCTGGCTCTGGCCCGCTTGCCCTCGCCCCCGTCCCCCTGGCTGTGGCCCGCCCCCCCTCGCCCCCTCGCCCCAACCCAGACCTCTGGCCTCTGGTCCGAACCCCAGCCCTCTGGCCCTGGCTGAACTGAGCTTGTTTCCTGGCCTTGGCCCCACTCGCCCCGACCCTGGCCTTCGCCCCAGCCCTCCTCGCCCCGGACCGTGTATTTTCGTTGTTCGAACCTGTACCTCTGGCCCCTGGTCCGAGCTTCTGTCCTCCTGCCCTGGCCTTGGCCCCAGCCCTCCTCGCCCCGGACCCTTTATTTTCGTGGTTCCGTCCCCCTGGCTCTGGGCCCCCATCCCCTGGCCCTCTCGCCCCCCTCATGCCCCTTCTCCTCTTTCTCTCCTCAGAGCCAGAGCTCGCGTGCCACTTGTAAGGAGCAGGAATGGAGGAGGAGGAGGAGGAGGAGGAGATTACCAGGAGATTACCACTGAGGACCAGTGTCCTTGCTACTTAAGAAGATGTGCACCCACATCAAAGAAGAGATCGGGCCACTTCAGGCGCCCCCTGGGGGCACGGGTGCAGGCCCTTGGAGATTCGCGCGAGGTTACACTGACCCTTCTTGGACCGCGCCGCACCCGTGGCGGCGGGCCCGCAAGGCCGCGAGAGGTGGCGTCCGTCCAGGGTCGCAGTGAAACCACATAACATACAAAATTTTAAACTCATGAGATCCCAGGACCATATCTGATGTCCAGGGTCAACCTTTCGGCCCCCCACCCACACCGTCCCCGACTCCCGCCGAATGGTGACCCCAGACATGTTGGGGGTAGTGGCGGAGGAGGAGGAGATAGGAGGGGGGCGGCACGGCCTCCTCGCGGCCGCCTCCAAGGCGGTGGCGGTGGCGAGCTCGCCACAGGTGGAGCACCTCCACCTGCCACCTGCGCGTTGGAAAGCGTGGGTGGAGTCCCGCAGCACCTGTACTCTGCGGGAGACACGCTGGCGTGGCACAGCTGGGCCCGCCCACTCACCTTCCCAGGGGTCCACGGCGGCAGTGTCCTGGAGAGCCTGGGACGCACGACGACGGACGAGCCAGGCAACTACGTCTAGCTCGTCCGTCCTGGGCACTTCCTTATTCTCGGTGGCTAACTCGAACCCGCGGGCAGCAGAGTCGCACGCGAGGTCATCAGCCACGGCGTTCCCAAAAGACAGGAAAGCTTGCCAAAAAGTGCGAATTCCCCCTTCCTCATCTTCGAGGTGGGAGGGGGTCCAAAAAACACGGACAGGGTGAGGCCTTTGAGAGTACGCCTGACGGATCCTCTCCCACAAGTCAGAATTTTGCTCCTTCGGAGCCTTCCGATCACCCCTACCCGACTGCCAAGCTCTATACAGGGGGAGGTGGTCGGTGATATAATCGAGGGGGCCGTGAGTCAACTCCAAGGCCAAGCAGAAAGCAAGCAGCTCCGCGCGGGGGACCGTTTGTCTGGGGCCCACCAGAGGCGCAGAGGCCGCCCAAACAGTGCTCCACGAAAGATCGGCGACAGGGTCCGCGTGGAGAATGGCAACTCCCGCCCCGCAGCGCCGACGCCGAGGATCACTGGAGTACTCCCCTCCAGATCCGTCTCCAAAGACAACTAGGGGGCCCTGGAGGGGGTCCGAAACAGCAGCGCTGGGGTTCCCCATAAGAAGCAGCCCTTTCTCAAGCACAGACTCCTCCGAAAACTCAGGCACAACCTGCTTCTCGGGGGGAACCCCACGGAGCCAAAGGCTGGGCTCGCTCTCATGTGAGGCGACTGCACGGGCGATGAGGCTGTCACTTTTTCTGCACGCATCATGCTGACAGTTGGCTGGACACAGCCACACACGGTGCAGGAGCGTCTCAGGCTCCCGCCCACACCGTCTGCATAGCGGGTCGGTGGCGTAGCCCTGTGCACGTTGTCGCTCACGCGTCCACTGGCCTCCAGATACCACTGTCAAAGTGAGGCCCCAGTTCTCCATGTCCTGCTTGCGTTCGAACCTGTCGAGCTCGCGCTTGATCTGAGAGAAATCAGCTCCATGTTGTAGGTCATGTGCTCCCTCAAATTGACTGGCCTTCCTCCAGAACTGGTGTCGGAGGTCTGCCGTGAATTCATGTAGCATATCGTGTAGGTCGACCTGCAAGTACTGAGGTGTGCCCGCTCTGGGGAAAATCCACTCAATGCCCGCACTGGTCCGAGTCCAAACTTCTGGTTGCTTACGTTCCCAGCCTGCATTGACGAGGGTGGCAATCACTGCAGCAACTGGGCCACGGACTCTGTGCCATCTGGCCCTGCCATCCACCACTACAGCATTGTGTATTCGCAACCATGCCCACCGAATGGAATTGTGATATTGTGGATTGTCAAACCATAGACGCAGCCAAGCCTCCAATAATTGACGAGGTAGTTCGAGTCCTGGGTCACGCTGAGCAAGAGTCGCTTCCAGCACCGAGGTCAGACACCTGCCTCGCTTAGTACCTGCAATGGCCGACGCTGCCTGGCGCCTGACCTCCAACATTGTGCTGGGAGCCGTTCCAAGAACCTGATGGCCGTAGCAGCCCTGTGGTAAAACTCCCGTGGTCCACAGTGAGCTGCAGACTCTTCGGACTCTGGGTCCGAGACGGCGAAGGCGAAGGACACGACCATGACGTCGTCGAGCTGCTGCGAGACGTTGGTTAGCCTTCTTCTTAATTCTCCTGCGCCCCGCACTGACGTCGATGCCCAGGTCCGTGGCCGCCAGCTTGTAGGATACAGGGATGCCAAGACGCCTCATAATCCTGGCCATGCGCAGGCCCAAGGACTTGGACGACGCGATCAAATCTGTTTTGTCCGAAACAATCAGCCTGTGCTCTAGGAATGCCGCTCTGAACTCAGCTGCAACCTCCGTCATATTAGCAATAACAATTTCTTCATCGTCGTTCTCCTCACGTGCGACGGTGTCATCTATGTAGGTGGCCAACATCGTCTGCGGTGCCACCTTGTGGACCCTCTCAAGGATTGGGTGGAGAAAAACCTTGGCGAGTTGGACCCCTTTGGGACTGCCTGCCACCAACGATCTGGTGACGATCAGGAGGTCGCTCGCCCACTGCTTGAGCTTGAGGATCCTTGGGGCGATGCACATCTGCACCTCCATGAGTACCACAATGGCTGGATACCCCACTTTGATGGCTGTGCGCATAAGGATGCACAGCGATACACTGTCGTAGAACTTCTCCAGATCTAGAAGGAGGGTCAGGAAATGCTTCTTGTTGACCATACCCACTTCGTCGAGAAGAGATCTTAGCATAGCGGCCCGCAGGGCCGAGGACCCCGCCAGGGCCGTGTCCCAGAAGTCACTTAGCCCTTTGGACCATTCTGCAGCTGGTCCGACTCGGGTCTGACTCCACAACTTTCCCGTGGTGGGGAGGAGCCCCAATACTCTGTCTCCTCCTCTAGGCTTGGCCGCAAGTGCTCCTATCGTTGCGTGGATCTGCCTGGGCCATGAGCCCACATATTCCGCGAAATTGAAGAAATC